GGTTCTGAGCTGGCATCTTTGTTTTCAGGGTTTTTCACAATAATGTGTTTATTTTGAAGCTTTAGAAAATCTTCAGTAGCCCGTTGAACAACTGATTTTCTGCAAGATGGTTTCCCTGGAATAGAGAGTCCCAAATGGGCACTTGTTTTGTGCCTTCGAAAATCAAGCAGGCTCAGACTATCATCACTAAATAACTGATTAAATTTCCATGAAGCAACAAATGCTGTTTCAAACGCATTAACAAATAAAGGTCTGTACCATTTCTTTCCTTGAATTCAAGTAACATAAGCTGCTGCATGGTTATATCAAATAAGGGTAGCTCCATTTTTATATTTATTATAGGATGTAAAATAAGGCATCCTACAATAAATAAGGCAGGTCTTATGCCACTGCCACCTTTTTCTCTTCTTTCTACGGATGATACACTTTTTGTTTCTTCAAAATTGGACATTATTGAAACGACACAATTGTTATTCTATCGAACTGCTGCAACTTTGTTTTTTGAATCAAAACTGCTATCTGAAGAGCTGTGTTCCATTTTTGCCATTGTTTTAGGAGGTGTAAGTAAGCATTTAGACATTCTGTGTCCTTTAACAGTACCTGTAGCAAAAAAATTTTATTTGCTTTGTTGTTGCGAAGCTACGTTTCTCTAGATTGGTAACAAATCCACTACTCTGCTGTTTCACATGTAAACAAGCAATGGCCGCCATCAAAAAAATTATTAGGCTTAGCAGCACTTAAACAACTTTAAAATTGTTGATAATTCTAAAAATATTGCATACAGATTTACTAAAGGCATATAAACCTTAACCGGAAGATAAGAACTGCATAATTCAATCATTTTTAAAGCAAAAAATGTACAATTTACAAACATATAAGAGTAAAGAAATTGAGATCACTGAGCCGGATAACAGAGTGGATATATATTTATAAATATATTTAAACAAATTGAAATTCTCAACAAATATGTATAAAAGTAAAAAAGCAAAATTAAATTCTAAAAAAAAAAAAGGCCAAAATAATTTAAAATAATTTTAAAAAATGTGCAAACATGTAAAAGATTTAATTCTCGAACTAATCTACAATATCATTTAAATTCAGAAGCATAAGCAAATCAAGTGCAAAACCTATCCATGAAAAGAAATCTAATTTAATAAATTAAAATTAAATTAAACAATTTTTTTTTAATTTTTTATGTAGTATCTAAGTATTTTCTAAATATGAAATTATATTTTTAAATATATGTTTGTTTTTTAAAAAAATTGTGAATTAGTTCTTTTTGTTTCTTATTGGTTTATATGGATTATGTATAGTTCTTTTATAGTTTCTTTTTATTGATATGCATATTCGTGTAGGGGAAGTTTCTGTAGACAAGGATTTCCAAAATACATTGGTTTCTAGATTTTTTTATTATTTTATAAAAAATTAATTTTTAAAAAAATTTAATTTTTTAAGAAAAAGTTTAATTTTTGACTTTACTTGCTTGTTACTCAAAAGACTTCATTAGTATTTTCCTTTTTGAACTTTAATTCTTAAATGTTAATACTTAAATGTTAATTTCTAAGGGTACCACTTTATTGGAATTACTTTTGGTTTTGACTTTTACCCTTGCCTGCATGAATGACGAAACACGAATTGAATGATTGGGGAGTTAGGTTTGGAGGCAACTTCCTCTTGATAAGTCTGTCTCCTGCCTGCTCTACGGTCGTTCACATATGCATTTAAAAATATATATATATAATTGTTTAATTTAATTTTAATTTATTAAATTAGTAGATTTATTTTCATGGATAGATTTTGCACTTGATTTGCTTATGCTTCTGAATTTAAATGATATTGTAGATTAATTCGAGAATTAAATCTTTTACATGTTTTGCACATTTTTTAAAATTATTTTAAATTATTTTGGCTTTTTTTCTTTTTCTTTTTTTTTAGAATTTAAATTAAATTTGCTTTTTTACTTTTATACGTATTTGTTGAGAATTTAAATTTGTTTAAATTTAAATTTCATTCCTTGCAGCAATGGCACAAAGAATATTTAATTAAATATGCATTTAAATTTATTTATTTTTTAAAATTAAATTCAATTTATTCTTATAAATATATTTATATACGTTTGGTGCGGCCGATGCTGTTTCCTACACGATATATACCGGCGGAGTCCGTGACGTACCTTAGGACCGCAGATATCGTCATTTACATAGGTGTCCAAATACTTATTGGTAGTCAGTGTATAAGAGAATGGTAGAATAAATCTTGACTATCCATGAATGGTTTCATCAGCCATATAAATATCACCTGTTTCTGAATCCTGTCTTGGCTAAATAAAATAAAGTGCAGCAAACAGTACTCAAACACACTGTTTACCCGATCATGTTGCTATTCACATGTGGTCGCCCATCAGACCATTATGGTGAAACATAATCCTACGATAAAATTGTAGGCTAGGTGGCTCCAAACTATAGCCCGTGAGGGGTTTTTTCAAAATAATTTTATAAAATTTAAAGTAATAAATAACATACACATTAAATATTTTTTATAACAGCCAATCTAGAATTGCAATGTCTATCATGCATGTTCTTTGTAAAACATATTATAAACTTTGTACAACTGTTTCTAAATTTACAATGACTGAAATACATTAACATTCTATTTAAAAAATTTTATGTGAACCTCATGACATCTTCATACGTCCTATTAAATTACACACATTTTTTGGTGTACTTAATTTAAACTTATTTTTTCGAATTTCATCAGAAATGTACTTCTCATTCAATCAGTTCAGTTCTCAGTTCGCAGCAAGGTGCAAATACATAAAAACTCAAAATATCTTAAAATATAACAAGAGTTTAAAATGTAAATAAATGGCGACTTTCAGGCTTAGAGACACTTAAACAACTTTTAAATTCTATTTCAGAAGTCAAACAACAAAAATCGGCGTTTTGTTGTTTGACTTGTATTTATTGTTTGAAATAGTATTTATTCGGCGTGTTATTGTGTCTTAACTTTTAAATTGTTGATAATTTAAAACTATTGCATGAAGATTAAATAAAGGCATAAAAATCTTAACCAGAACATAAAAACAACATAATTCAATCAGTTTTAAAGCAAAAAATGCATAATTTATCAACATATAAGAATAAAAAGTTGAGCTCCAAGGCGAATAAGAGAGTGGGTGTGTAGTATATACTTTTGATGCAACTGATTGCAACCAAAAAGGGAGGTATGCAGCTACATGTTATAGCAGTCCCATTTACAAAATTTCAATATTTTGAAGCTACTCGTTTTTGAGTTATGTGAGGATACAGATGTCACTAAAAAAATCTCTCCTTAATCCTTTTAAATAATCCCTTAATCTCCTTAATCCTTTTAAGGTGTCAAAAAAAAAAATTCAAATGGATATTTAATGGTATCGGAAATTTTTCGCAATTATAATATACTCCGTACAAGGAAGTAAAAAAATTCTCATTGCACTTTTTACTAGAATAAAGTTTTCGTGTGTTGTTCCTACTTGTGTTCTAGGTTGGTTCATATAAATTTTGAATAGTGATTTTATTTAAATCTTGATTTTTGTACTGTGTATGTTGTAATTAATTTTAATTTTGGAGGTGTTTTATTCACATGAAACTTGCCCAAATCTGAAATACTTATGAGCAAAAGTTTGCACCTGATAAAAATGTAAACAAATTGCACTGATAAATTGTAAAAGCAGGCAGACAAATCCATTGAAAAGTAAAATACTTCCTAAACCGAAGAAATCTCTTAATATTCTAGGGCAAAAATGTATTTTTGCAAATGTTTAAAAACAGTTTTCAGAAATTTGTGTTAGGCAAAACTGCTTGAAAGTGTAAAAAACAAAGCTGTTTGAAAGATCATAGCATGTAGATCCAATCACAAAAATCTCACTGCCTCGTTTTTATACGTGTATACTGTTCATCATAATTGCATCGCCATCATGGGTTGATTAATTAACTGGATCTTGGCCCTTGAAGCCTCGCGAAAGAGCCAATATGGCCCATGGGTTAAAAAGTTTGGAGACCCCTGTTCTAGATTACACTAATGTTGCTTTATATATGAATGTTGGTTCATATGTGAAATTTTACATAACAACTTGGAGACATTACACTAGTAGTGACTCTCTTTCTAATGCACATGCTATGAAAATACATATTTATGTTTCTATGTATGTAAAATTATACTTCATGGAAGTTTCTTTATATAAACTAAAACATCCAAAATTAAATTTTATTTTATATTCGGTCTACCTGAAAGTTATGTCCGTTTTTGAAGTAAAACAAAATACAGATTTTGCTAACATCAATAAACTTTATTAAAATAATATAATTGCTATTATTATTAATGACTTCTTGCCAGCGAGAGGGCAATTTGTATATCCCATTTTTAAAAAATGTTGTATCATTTGATGCAAAAAATTGAACCAGTGCTTGTATGATATCTTCAGCCCTTTTATGCCCTTCAAAAAATCCTGTGAGGGCAAAAACAAGTGATAGTCGGGGGTGCTGAGTCCAGGGAATATGGTGGAATTTCCTAGCTTAGTTCTGTAATTTTTTGTCGAGTCCCCAAAGCAGCACTTGGCTTGGCATTATCATGATGCAGTGTGCTGTCCTTCTTGTTGAACATATCCAGCCTCTTTTCTTGGATTGCTGTCTTTAAATTATCCAGTTGCTGAAAATACTTCTCTGAATTGAGCTTTACTTTCGGTTTTAAAAGCTCATAATATATTGGTAATATGTTGAATTACCTTGAAGATGTGTAACTGCATCAAAATGTTAAGATTCTGTTAGCCATGGGACTTAGGCTAACAATAAGTAATAAATATTGCAGTTAAGTGTGATTTTTATGTTAAGTGGTATTTCTGAAAATTTTAATTTGAGAAGTCAGTAAATTTGAATAGACAAATAGTTATACCTAATCAACATGATGATATGAATATTAATGCTTACCATTTGAACTTAATCTTTTATTTATTTATTTTACAGATCTACAGATGGTGAATATTTCCTTGAGAGTTTTAGCACGACCCGATGCATTAAACTTGCCCCATATGTACAGAATGCTAGGAACAGATTATGATGAAAGAGTTCTTCCTTCTATTTGCAATGAAGTATGATACACTATTTAATAATTTCTTTTTTACTGAAATTATTTGAATTAAAGTCAGTAATTGTAATAAAAAAATGTGTTATTCATAAAAATACTGCTTTTTATATTAGTCCTATATAGAAGAGTGTAGCGCATATAAAACTAATTTGTTCCAGCGCATGACACACTGTATTGAAATACCTATTACATGTTGTATTATCCCGGCACATGACATACTGTATTGACTATGTTGCCATACTTTCAATAAAATATGGCAATATGGCTTTGTCCTCTTTTAAACTAAATTGAAAATTATTTTTTAGTTTAAAGCGTTGAAAGATTTACTAATGGCAGTGAGAGTGAATGAATAATTATATTTTAGTTGAATCCTAATACTGTGGAACAAAACATTAATACTGTTTGTTCTGTATATTTTCTATTAAATTTGGTGAAAGTTTAACTGTGTTAGAAAATGCTTTGTAAATTTGATATTCGTGTTTGTTTTGTGCATGGAGATGACAATAATAAGTATTCTGTGTTATGAAGAAAAGTAGTAGTATTATAGAGCTGTTTAATATTAGATTTTACTAAACTCTTCGTGTGGCTAAGTATTTGTCTCTTGTATTCTTGTTCTCTGAGGTATTAGCTTTGTTAACTCAAAAACACCCTTGCTGTTTTTTTGTACGCCTTACATACACACAAAAAACAGGAACAGTCCAATATCTTCCGTTCTGCTGAACCAATTGTCAAAATTCAACTTGCATTTTTCATGCCTCGAAAGTGTGACTTAGGATATATATTAGATTTATATATAGCATTATTCTAACATATGTATTTTGACACAAAAAATAACATACCAATTTTTTCCATATTTTGATTCTAGGATTCAAATTATGTCTAGACTAAATTTTATAATTTTTGGCGATAAATTTGTGGAGAAATTAAAAAATTTAACTTGGTGCATTTTTTAGTCCTAAGGGGCAATTTTCCCTGAAGGACTATGATTTTTGTTTTGGCATTTTGTGTTGAAAACTTTAAACAATTGTATCACTTTTCAAATTGTTGCCACCAAATATTAGAGCCCTGTATAGGCACAGGGTTCGTACGGTTCTTAAAAGTCCTTAGTTTTTTAGGAATCGAATTTGGTCCTTAAAAGTCCTTAATTTCAGCCAAAATTGGCAGAAGGTCCGTAATTTTAATCATCTGAAATTTCTGTTTGTTTTTACGACTGCCATTTTGAGTGCGAATTAGCATTTTGGACAAATATTTTCGGTGATTCACTGACAAATATGGTTATCTTTTCAATGGGTTCATGGGTTTAGTTTCTTCCTATTTCTAATATAAATGGTGGGATACTTGAGTTTCTGAGCAAGAATGAAACATAAGCATTTCCAAATTATTTCATTTTTTCTAATCTTTTGACTTTTCACTAGACACAAGTATAGAAAATATCAAAAATGCATCTAATCTTATCATATGGACATTTTTTATTAATAAAGAAATTGAAAACTGTCAATTTAAAAGATTCTTCTAATATGTCTTAATGCATCACACACAGGGCTGGCATTAGGCATTTTGCCACCTGATGCAGTCCCTATGAATCCTAAATTCTGCTGCCTTTCTAAATTCTGCTTCCAGTGCCTGTCCTAAATTCTAAGATTATCCCACACTAACTCTATAACCGGACCTCACCATATATATTTCACATTACTAAATAAATAAAATTAGCATCTTTTTATATACATTCTAAATGCTTTTAATGTTTTTAGAATAGCAGAAATCTTTAATTAAGTCCAAACATTCTAAAATGAAAAGGAAACATGCGAGAATGAAACTGAATACATAAAGGAAAAGAAAATTATTCTTCAAAAATATGTACAGTTATTATGATGTAAATTACTTAGTTGTTTATAAATTCTGCTTTTGCTATAATTTGACAATTATTTGACAATATTAACTGTCCATTTGACACCAGAATGCAAGTCAAATGGACAGTTTTTAAATGGAGGTTTTTGGAGTGTAAGACGAATGTGTTTCTGACATCCACTCGCTCCCTGCAGTAGTTCTTGCCAGCTCTGATAATTTATAATTATTCATCTTTGCGTTACCGCTGTCAACATTTGAATTTGTTATGATGATAGTTACTGAGCCAGCTTAAATTAAATTGTATTTTTCCTGCCTTCATAGTGTAGTGGTCAGCACGCTGGCACACATATCCAGAGGTCCGTGGTTCGAGTCCCAGCATTGCTAATTTTTCATTCCTCCTGCTTTAAAATACCTAGTGTCTCTACAGTGGCGCTCAAATTAAAAGGGTGGTGCATGATGATTCTCCACCATCAGGATTTGGCGATAGGGTCTCCTAAAACCCCAGTCGCCCTTTAAAAGGAAGAGTATATAAGGTACTTCTCCCACCTTTTTAGCATGCCTTCCTAGTATAGTGGTTAGCATGCTGGGCGTGCATTCAGAGGTCCGTGGTTCTAGTCCCGGCAAGGGCATTGCTCATTTTTCATCCCTCCTGCTTTAAAATATCTAATGTCTCTGCAGTATAGTCTTTGATCACTAGTCCACATTTTTAGTTTGAATTTGACTCTTCTTGTTTAATTGCATCACAACGAGCTGTAATTGATTTTGTTAGCATAAGAACCTGCCCTTATGTTTTAAGTCCTTTTTAAATAAGTAACTTAGTTAAACCTCTGTAGTTATTTTCAGACATAGCAATAATTTGCTTCACATCTGTCGGGGTTTGAAACTATTAATTTTTACCAGATCAAGTAAACTCTCATAGGTACATTTGGAGAGGTTGACAAGTTAGAACATTAGAGTATTCAGAAACTAGTGAGAACGTTGGCTTGCGTATTGTCACAAATTTGTAATTGTTAGAAAAGATGCTTAAAGAGAAGGAAATCGAAATAAATTAGCCAAAATATCTGGGAAGGCTTCAAATTAAAAAGATGCATAAATATTTTGTCGAGTGTTGTTGCTACAAAAGATAAATGTTTTGTAATTTTTAATGTGTAATTATCCTAATATCGTTTAAGAATCAATGTCATAAATTACACATATTTTAACTGTGAAATTTTATTAGATTGTAATTTTAATAGGGCTTTTTTAACAAATGTTGTTAAAAAATAAATAAAATGTATTTAATATTGGCCATGTAAATCTATAATAACTAAGGTTATCTAACTACCTAATTTAATTACTTATAACCAACTGCCTAATTTAATTACTTAACCAACTGCTTACCCTTAAATATTATCTCGGCATATTTAAGCGAGATATTGCCTTTCTCCTTACCGTGATCACAATATAAAACACAAAAATATAAAAATTGATTTAAAACTTATTTTTCACATCTAGTGAGACTTAAAAATATAAAACAACTTATCACCTCTAGTGCTTTAGTGGCTTATTGAAACCTTAAAATATATTAACTGGGTTAAAATCCCTGGAACTCTACACGAAGCTACAACACTAACTGCATCAGACAGACCCCAACTAACTTTCAAAACCTGCCGACCGTGCCTACATGAGGCCTTTCAAGTTTGTTGTGATCAGCAGGTCTATCTCTAGGCAAGTAGAAGTCTTTTGTTATGAATCATGCTGATTAGGATTTCACTTCGCATTTTAACTTATGCCGCTTGACATAAAATCTACCTGCTATTTACTAAACGTCTAGACTGAGTATGTAACAAAATGAGACAAAAAAAAATTTAACATAGAGCTAGCTAACTGTTAATAAAATGTAAATAAAATGTCACTTATCTTCTTTAAAATATGACAAATGTTATAAGTGTAAAATATTTAATGCTACTTGATAAATTTCATAAAGTTTATAATAATTATGTTAATTAAGTTATGTTTAATAATAATGCTTCCTACTTACAGATCTGTTTTATTTTTAAGATGGTATTATAAAAGTTCAGCTATAGATAATATTTTTAATTGAATTTATTCAGTTCCCATTTGCTCATAAGTCCTTAAAAGGCGTTAATTTCTGTGTATAGAAATGTGTACAAACCCTTTTATATTTAAAGAAATTAAATACTGAAGAATCTGCGTAAATGTATGTATGTTTCTCACATTGTGTTAAAGCAATGTGATGTAGAACCATCCAATTTTGCATAACGTACGTTTCCACCTGAATATGGGTGAGACTTAAAAATACAAAACAACTTATCACCTCTAGTGCTTTAGTGGCTTATTGAAACCTTAAAATATATTAACTGGGTTAAAACCCCTGGAACTCTACACCCCTGGAAGCCTAAATTTGGAATTTGTTCTATTATCTATTTCATATTTTGTATTTCATTTTTGATTAACAAACTGAAAGATTTAAGAGTGAGCAATGGCAACACTCGACAAGGGGGGAACAAAACTAAACCTTTGTATCTCCAGCGCGCGGAATTGTGTACCGGAAAATCTAAAGGTATGCTCATTTTAAAATTATTTTGAGATATTGCTGTTGAACTGAATTTTATGGTTTAAGTGTGAAGAACATGATATTTAATAAAGGTAACACACAAAACGTTAACAAAAAACCTCTTTGGAAGTAATTTAAAATCTCAAAACCCTTCTTCCCCCCCGTCCAGTTTGCATCAAGAATAATTCACTTGGCGAATTTCTTAATATATGGCAACCTATTTTCCTTTCCCCTTTTTTCTTTGTGCATGAGTAGGAAAGGTGCATCTTTCATACTTTCAAATTATTTTTACAAAGTCCATAAAGCACGGTTGGCATTATTATTGCTTGTAACAAATATGCCAAATTTCTAAACGTGGCAATATATAAATTTGTGTATATCTCTGAAATTCTGAATTAAAAAATCTTAATTTTTTGCAGATATGCCTAGAAATACATTTATTTTAGGATGATGGTAAAAAATTTATAGGTTATAATTCGAAATGTTTTTGAAAAATTTATAAAAATTGTTTAAAAACAAATCATAAAAAATGGGTGAATTTTATTTGGAATGAACCTAAATTTTGAAATGTTAATGGAAGAATCAAATAAGTTTAATAAAAAAGAGATATTAATAAATATACACTAAATTAATTTAACATGGAGAAGCTAAAATTTTGAGAGCTAATTTTTTAAAAACTAGAAAAAATCAGATTTGTTTTGTCAGAATACCTATGTTAGAATAATGCTATATATAAATCTAATATATATCCAAAGTCACGCTTTTGAGACATGGAAAACGATAGTTAAATTTCGACAATTGGTCCAATAGAACGGGAGGTATAGAACCATCGCCTTTTTCTTTTGTGTGTGTGTGTAAGGTTATGTAGAATGTTTACCTTTAATAAATTGCTGTAATTGTTTGGATGCATTTTAAGATGCATTATAAGTTATTAATGAGATGTTTTTGTGTACATATATTATACAGCTGAACTATTTAAATAAAAAGCATGATTAACTAAGCTAAAAAATTTAATTATTGGCAAAATGTGTATTTCAGACAATATTTGTAAGTTGTTTTGTATGGCAGAGTATGCAGTGGCTGTCCCCATAAGTGAAAGGTTGTAAATTTGTGATAACCGAAATCAATTTATATAACGTTTTAAAATGGGATTCTTTTATATGTAGCACAATAATTCATCTTGTTTTGTGGATATAAAATAAGCTAAAATTTCTGTTTTAAAATTTTTAATTATTGATAAAGTCTGATCATGATAAATCATATAAGTGAAGTAGGATTAGATTGGCCAGGGTGTTCTGAGCTGTATTCAGTTAACATGCTGACTTGTGAAAAGCCTTAGAATAAATTATGCACACACAGTGTCATAATTGTAAAGGTAAATGCTTGTCTTTGTTAAATTTTTAAATGAAACATGGAACATAAATATTTTTTCAGTAATTGAAGTTGAAATAGTGTATTTGATATAATATCATGATTAAAAAAAGTGATTTATAGATGAAATTTTAAAAAAATCTTTGTTTTCCTTTTCTTTTACAGGTTTTAAAAAGTGTAGTAGCAAAATTTAATGCATCTCAACTGATAACGCAGCGTCAGCAAGTATCTTTGCTTGTAAGAAAGGAGTTGATTGAACGAGCTAGGGACTTCAATATCATTCTAGACGATGTATCAATAACTGAATTGAGTTTTGGGAAAGAGTATACTGCTGCTGTTGAAGCCAAGCAGGTATTTTCTTCTCAAAATTATTCCCAGTACATGGTTCTGAATTGTAAATTTTTAGCCCTTTTGTAAATGCTTTTGTCTCTCAATATGCAATAAACTGAGTTTTTCTATGACTTAATCTGTTGAACAGTGGGGAATAACTTCTTGTTTTGTTACTTCTTAGAGTAACAAAATTTGTTGGAAGTAACACCGCATTAATTGCATATAACTCTGATTAATAATTCTTGCATTTTATTGTCTGGTTTGACTAATTTGCCAATAGTAATCTGAAATTTAAGTTCTGCAGTATTTTATGAGAAAGACTAAATTTTTTAATTTGCAGTATATTTAGCATAATTTTATTTAGTAGTACACTATAAATGTATAAATAATGAACAGATTACTTTGTTATTATTTTAACTAATATTGGTAATGTCTAATTTGTATAAGTGACAACAGATGTGTTGCTAGTATGTAGTTATTGCCAGTGTTAAGTCTTATAATATGTAACCTGCAGATATAGTAAACCTGTAACCTGCAGGTATGAGACCTTCTGTATACTGCTAAAATATTAACTAAATGAAGTTTGCAGTCACTTTTGAAAACTGTCTACATATGTCATTAAAGTGATATATAAATATGGGGCATGGTTGTACTTTAGAACTATAGCAAAAGTCTTATTGAAGGCAACAAGTAGTAACATTTAGTAATTTAATTGCAAAACACACAGACATAATAGACGTAGTTAACAAGATAATACAGAAAAATTAGAAGAGAAACTGGGCCCATGGCATCATAAGAATTCAGTGTTCTTTTAATTTTTAAACTATTATCGTTGGTTATATTTATGTCTCCCCGAGAAGTGATCACGCGATCCTACGTTTTCTCACTAGTGAGTGCGTTGTCATTCATAAATAAAAAGAAGTATATGTGATGTACCAGCTTTTGTCCAGAATAAAAGATTGGTGAAGAATCATAAAATGTAGTCGTAGCTTAAATTATCAGATGATAAGTTTACAAAACAGGATACATTTATTATTATTCAGGAGAAATAGCAGTTACAAAATCAGATATCCACAGTAAATAAAAAGAATTACTAATAACTTTATGTATGAAGTTTACTGCATCGTGACATTTAAGAAAAAGCCCCGATATTCTTTTGCGAGTCCTTTTATAGCCTCTGAAAAGGCGGAGCTTCCAAGAAATGACGTCAGCCATTCCAGTTCGCTTTAAATATTTCCAGAACATTCTATAACTGTACGTGTAGAAAAAGACGGGAAAAGCAACTTGACTACGGGGCTGTGGATTTAATTCCACATACTTTCAAATAAGAGAACGTCGTCATTAAAAATGAAAAGAACATACAGTTAGAAAATTAAGCGTAATTTTGACTATGGAATTTTATTATTACAAATATATATAGGATGTATAGTCAAAAGTCGTTAATTCGGACACCCATAATTCGGAATGATATATAATCCGGACCTCAAAACTAAAAACTTTCTGCGCATGCGGCGCGTTGACACATGCGCATAGGCGTTTACGCGTGCGCATAAGACCTTTTACGACTGCGCATATGAGTGTGTGCAAGTGCAGAATACATTTTCGCGTGCGCATTTTATGTATAATTGACGTATAAGCTAAAATTATCTAATTATCAATTTCAGTTAATGTTGATGATTGCGCTGTTCCTTAATTTTCGAATTGGATCCAGCTTATTATTTTTTGCAGACTGTAAGAGCAATTTTATAAAAGTAAGCTTAAACTTTCGATTATATCAAATAGAATTTCTGATATATATTTGTTAATATGTAAAGGATCTAAAGGGAAAGTATGTTTTGAAATCTGAAATCTGTTTATCAATTTCACGCTGCTCGGCAGGGGGGAACGCGGCAGCGGGCGCCTAATGAATTGGAAGTTGATCTGTCAGCACTATCCTTATCTTCAGGGCAGATGTTTTTATTTTATTTGGCTTATAATTCCTTACCAAATTAGTATTTCATCTCGATGTGCTCCGTCTTTGATATGATTTAAAACAAGCTCCTCGTCATTATAATTTGCTTCCGATAGCGAAGAAAGTGACAGAGGTTGGTGAAAACAAAAAAATTTCGATTGACAAATTATGTGGTGTTCTCGACACAGCAATTATAGGACTTGAAGAGCGGAACTTTGTAACTGAACAAGAAATTATGTCTGTTTAATAGAATTAAAGAGAAAAGTATTATCACATGAAACGAAGCAAAACTTAAACAACTTACATTGAAAGAAATGTTTAATAAAGTAAACAAATAAATTTTTAAGCTTTTTCTTTTTGCAAATTTTGATAACCTTTAGATCATAATTGTTCTTTATTTCATAAATTACGGTTTCATATTTTTAATTTTAGAATTTCTGCATGCCATCTTACGAGATTTAAACTGATGATCTATAATCTGGAAAAATTGATAATCCGGAATCGCCGAAGTCCCGACGAGTCCGGATTAACGACTTTTGACTGTATAGGATAAGTGCAGGAATTTGTTGTGGAAAAGATTTAATGTTTATTTATTTACATCAAAATTATATCTAAAAAAATTCTTGTGAATTTAATCCCGGAAATATAGGTAGCTCAGCAAGAAGCACAACGGGCTGCTTTTGTTGTTGAACAAGCGAAGCAAGAACGTCAACAAAAAATTGTACAAGCTGAAGGTGAAGCTGAAGTTGCCAAAATGATATCCTTCTGATTTATATTATGTGGAATTTTTATAATAGAAAATGTAAAATATTCTCTTTGTGAAATTATCGTATGTCTCGAGTACTTTTGCTTGGCTAGAATTGAAATAAATAAAATGTGTTATATTTTAAGCTCTTCAGTATAAAACTTACTCACTGTAAAGCTAATCTTAGGGGCACACTAAAAAATATTTATACTAAACTTGGAATTTTTAATATTTAGCATATAATTTTAATTTGTGTAATTGAAGTTTTAAAAATGGCAATATTCTTATTTTTTACATTAATATTTTGTACAATATGGTGTAGAAATTGTTTAACCTTTTAACTGTCAAGTTAAATTGATTCGGGTGTATAAATTGTCAATTTTTTTTATTCAAAAATGAAATTTTTGCCTCGCAATCAAAAAAATGCCGCACACTTTGAACTTTAACCTCTATCTTTTGTGCTGCCCGTCTGTTGAATTGAAGCCGAAATAAACTTCTCAAGATATATATTTGGGTATAACAATACTATGCATTCTAAAAAAAAATTAGCCCGAGTAATACTGGGGCGTGACAATTTGGAATACCAGTGCTGTGTCGGACATTATTTCGAGCGTAACAGTTAAAAGGTTAAGAAATAAATAATGTGCAACCTTATTTAGATTTTATGAGTAGGTTTCTCTGTCTCATTGTCCTACCAATGCTTATTTGGTTTAAGACCTCTTAATGTTGGTAGTTCAAGATAAGGCAAACAGGCTGCCTAAATTATTGGTTTTCATGATGTTTGCTATATGTAATGTGAATACTAGCTAGTTTCCCCTAGAAAGTCCTTTCTGAAGGTGTCCCTTTTCTTAGGCAGCTAGTGCCAGTATGCTTTGCTATATTTAAACAACCTAAACCTTCTCTAAATTGCTAATATCTGAATATAAGCTGAGAGTGCACTTTTTTCTTCAGAAATGTACCCGAAATTTAGATCCGATATATAAGTTGAAATGAGAAAAATTTCATGTCACTGTGAGCGTGAAAATGCATCTAAAACTATAGTGTTTTCCCAATCAAAATCTCTGTCAAGTTAAATGCTAAACGACAATAATTTTAACTCTGGCAACTCTATTTGAAGCTAGCACCTTTTTTTCCATTCATTTGTTTCTTGTATACAATCTATAGTATCTCTATCTTATTTCCTGTATCATTTCATTTTTTGTTTGATAAATGTATATCATCAGTTTTTAATACCTGTTTTGTAATTTTTCTATACTTTTTAAAGTTTTTTTATTTTTTATTTAGATTAATCAGTATAATTTTAAATGCATTATTTATTTTGCCAAATGATGATAGATCTTGTTATGAGTTAATGGTTCCATAATGATTTGTGAATCTTGGCATCATTAGTGAAAAGCTTTACTTGGTGCTGTAAACTCAAATCTACATCATTTGCAAAAATTGCATGAACTTGCAAAAAAGTGATATTGTCAAGTTGCATTTTTTTGCATACATGTGTGTGTCTGTATGAGTGTAATCTGTGTGAATGATGTGTGTTTCATGAACCATTAACAAAGTGATGCTCTCTTTAGTAATCTGATGGCAATTTTAATAAATTCACATATGAAAAGCTCTATGGAAGTTTTAGAACTTTGTACTCTGCTTTTAAAGTGACCCCTGTAGCCTTGGCGAGAATTGGGAAACTGCATGTGTTTTTCAATCACATTCAAGCATTCTTATATATGTGCTTTATGCTTCATCCATTCATTAAAAAATACTGTTTTCAATGTGCTATCTAACGGAAGAAGGTGCAGTAGTTTTTTTCCAAGAGAAATGTATGTTGCCCAGCAAAAAAATTCATGACGGTGTTCATAAGACGCACATATATGTTACAGAAGAGTATGTTTGTATATGGCAGCTGTTAACTGGAATAATTATACGAGGGAACTGTGCTCTGCTCTCGTAACAAAAGAGCGTATTAAGATCGGTGAAATTAACGAATCTCTTTTCCTAAAATGGAGGAACCATGCAGGTAGTGGTCTTCTCGGGGCTGTCGATAGAGAAAATGTCCATCTCTGACCTCTGGAATTTTTGACTCCAACTTCCTCATATATGTAAACATATGCACATGTCTTATAGCTTACTTTTTTAAATATAAAAGAAATAATAGATGCTACAGGAAAAAATTGATGGCATAGGAGATTATTATTTATATTAATTAGTATTTATTATGAATTTGGAAAACTGGCATTAGTAATTTCTAAGAAACAGTATAGCTTTTGCAAGATCTTCCTTTATAAAGGACCGTAGATCCAAATTGATAAACTTCAGAGTTGAGTCTTTCCACACAAACTTTAGCAAGAGGAAGATCTGTTACTGTTAGGGCTACTTTTTTTAACTTTTCAGGATAGATATAAGTTCTAAAAGAGGTGTCTGGTAAGAGCGATTATGTTTCTCTATTCCTTCAAGGGCTGTGTAGAAATCTTGTTTGTATTTTTTCAATTTTATAATTTGTAATTAGTCTCTTGGTTCTGTATTTTCACTCACTTTGCATTAGCCTTTTCAGTATTATCCAAATATATCTCAAAATCTAATTCATCAATGGAAGTGGACGATAGAGACTTGGCTGCAGTGTCTGCAGTCTGTCTAGATTTGAATACTCCAGTTGTTCTGAAAATAATTTCATTCTTAGTGAAAGTTCATAGATGGCTTTCTTTGTCTTTTTAATTTGTTTGTCATCAAACAAAATTTGGTGTTTTGGATTTCTATATATGTGAAACTCAGCAAGATCTCATTGTCTAGCAAAAACTAGTTTCTCTTTTCTTCATTGAGGAAATGATTCCTTCTGCAGCAAGACGTCCCATTTTAGATAGAATAAACATCACATTTTCCCGTTCTCACAGAAGCAAGCCTCTTGTTAATTCTTCAGATTGTAGCTTTTTTGTGTGGCTATATGTGGTGTAGAAAGAAGTTTCTAATTCTGCAAGATCATTCCAGGGTCTTTCTGTTAGTGAAACATTAGGGTTATCTACATCTTCTAAAAAGTTCTTAATTCTAACAACCTCTTCATCATCACATATGTACTTCTTCATCATGTTGCTTGATTGCTCCTTTTCGTGCTCGTCTCCTTAGAATGGCAGCAATTTTTTGAGTTCTTGCTGCTCCTGCTTGCCTGAATTTACCATGAGATTTTTAGTATTTGATGCATTTTGTAGCTATGGGCTCCTTTTTCTTGTGAATTATGCTGTTTACAATAATGCCATCTATGAGCTGAAGAAGTAACTAAATAAATCAGTTAAATGAATAATGGCAAATAATCACATCCATCCCCCTCTCTTATATTTATTAATATGTAAATCTAAATAACTAAATATTATTAATGTATATAGTCCATAAATAAAAATAACTCAGTTTGTCATTAAATTTTTTTTCAATTCCTTTTAATTTCATTTCAAATTGAAACTGGAGTCAGTGTGTTTTTAACAACTCCAGCTCCGACTTCTTTCACCCAAAAATCTGCTCCTTTCCACTTCCGACTCCACAGCCCTGGTTCATCCAATAGCAGTGGATTTTATGTGGCATTTGCAGCAAAGTCAACGAGTGCTTCTTATTTCAGATACACAATAGAAGTGCAAGAACTCTCATAGAAAAACCCACGAGCAGGTGGGGATGGTTTAACAGTATACACAAAATGCTGCAAAAACTATCAGACTGAGGGAGTGGAGAAATTGGGTTCCAGCCATTTTACAGTTAATCACCAGTATAACTTTGTTGATTTACAGACTGGCAGATTTCCATAATCGCTCGATATTCACTATCTGTCTGCCATGGTAGACTCTTGAAATGTCCGTCTTCTATAAATATGTTTATGCTTATTTTGTTCGGAGGCATTTTTTGCCATTTATATATGATTATTTTGTTTAATGAAACCTTTGTTGTTATTTTCTTGTCCATGTTACATGGAACAATGGTTGCCGCAGCCTACTCTGAAGAGAGGTTGGACTTTTAATTTTCCATCACCAATTTTGAGGAAGAGCACTCGGGGGGGGGGGGGGGGCTTGGGGTCTCCCACCCTCTCCCCTTCCACCAATCCACACGAGAGGACTTTCAGCTCCCGGCATATTTAGAGTGCTGCCATGCCGCACCGACACTGTACATTTACAAACATCTGTGTCTCCTCCGGGATTCGAACCCGGGCCCTTTGGTAGCATAGTAGGCTTCCCTAACCACTATATTGTCTGGGTGACGAGATTTTTACATATAATTAATGAAATATTTCACTTCCTATTCCATTACGAAATTACTATTATTCTGTCATTTTATCTATTATTATATTTGTATAAGATATGTACCGGGCAAAGCTTATGGGCTGCTATAAAAGAAAAGTACAGAATTCTAGCCTTTTTGAAAAATGAATCTTAGTTTTTTAAGTGTAATTGGCCATTTTAAATTTAAATGTTTTAAATTTTTGTATGATTTTTATTGGATTTTTCCTTAGCTTCTTTTAATTAGGTGATGCAATTTCCAAGAACCCGGGTTACTTAAAATTGCGAAAAATTCGGGCTGCACAGAACATTGCTCGTACAGTAAGTTGTTGTTTTAAAAACCTTTTTTATTGAAGAAAGAAATTTAACATTCGTAGCTTGATAATCTGGTGTAATATTATGTAAATCGGCAGTCACGGCTTGAAATCGAAGGTCTATGCAATAACATGTACCCATTCTTTGAAAATATCCAACATAAAATTGATTTAATTTATATATTAAAGGAAAGTAAATTTTGTAACTGCATTCATATGCTTCCAAGGTGCATTTCATATTACATCAGAATCTAAAAATTCTAAAAAGAAACTGACTCATCACTGTGCAGTGTCATTCGGAGGAAAACGAACAAAGCAATATATAAGAAAGGTATTATTGCAGAGATTGCAGTGTGGGACACAACATGCAAGTTTAAATATAACCTTGCAGTTAAAAATTTGCAGATGTGTAATGAATATGAAAGGCTATATAAAGTAAGTTTACTTTCCATAATTACATGTGTGAAAAAAAGCATGCGTTAAAGAAGTAGTTATAATTTCTTTCAATACATATATTTTATATATGACATATAAATTTTTCACATATAATTCATCTGAAATTGTTGTGTTCTTTCAAATTCTGTAGTAAAAGAATCTGTAATTTGGATAACTTACTTATTTGTGATATTTATTGAGTTGAGACATGATTAATAGACTATACAGCAGCAACTTAGAGATTTATTTAAGATAACTTTATTGCTGAAATGGTGGTAGTTTTAGCAGAATTTATTAATTTTTGTGCTCTAATTATAGATATGACTTTTTTAATATAAAATATTTTGATGCATTTTTACCAAACACTCGCTTTTTATTTGATTTTCCTATCGCTTACCTTTTCTCTCAACTGCATATCTCTTTTCGATTAATATTTTCCTTGTATATAACTGTATTTAAATGTAAGTTTTGTATTTAATAACTTTTTAGTAAGTGATCTATGTACCAACAATTCAAATTTAGTGTAAAAAATTGGAATAAATGTAAAAAATGCATGACATGTAATCTATACAACGCCTAGTCCCAAAACATGCAGTGCCCACCAGCGGCTGAGTGGTAAAGTTGCTGAATGCTGGTAAGGTTTGAATCCCACAAACGGGCTGGCTGCATGGGTGTTTTTGTGGTTTCCCCATGTGTAATGGGTATAAGAACCAGTTTTCCTTACAGAGTTGCCAACTCTCCCGATTTTCGACCAGTCTCCCGCCAACCCGATTTGCAATACATTTCTCCTGCTTTTTTCTTTTTCTTAAAATTTCTCACGATTTTTATGGAACTTGGCTTAATATTTCGTTATATGAACAAGAAAAAGAGATGATTTTGGACGTCTAAAAGCAATTGAATTTTATCTAGATTATATCTAAAACAAAACCTTGCAAATCAGATGAGAATTTTTTATGCTTTGTGAGTGAGAGCATACGTATCCAGAAACGTCCTTCTCCAGTTTTCTAATGGGCGTCGAGCTTCACTGCGTGTCATCTGGCATATATCAGTCAATGAGCACAAAGCAAGCTCAAGGCTGTTATTTGTATGTTCTTTAGTTAATTCGTTCATCTTGCCCTGAGTTGTGCGAGTACACGTGCCTTCGGGAAATAGTTTTAGAAATTATGATCTTTTGTTATCTCTCTGCGAGAAAGGTGAAATACTCGTGTATGTTTCAAAAATCGTACACAGTTGACTTCCCTTATTTTCTCAAGGAAATGTGATAAAGTTGCGATTTTTCGATTTCGCATGGTGGAAGGGCGGAAGTTCTCAAACATGTGCATACACAAAAACATGAGGACAACATGAGTTGTTTTGAAAAAAACAAAAAATTAAATTTTTCGTCAGAAACAAAGGACCAGATGTCTGTTCTCTGCATTTTTACTGGTGCACAACCTGCCACTGAATGCATCGGATCACGCTGCAGCTCTATTTAGAAAAATGTTTCCCAATAGTGAAATTGCTAAGAAATACTCAAGTGCAAGGACCAAAACACGTTGTTGATATTTATTATTATCTTGAAAGGAGTTCTAAAAGGAAGGAAAAATTGAAACAGTTCCAACAGCTGCATAACTAATATTAGTGATGACACATTAGAAAAACTTTTATTAGCGAAAGGAGGCCTACGTGGCAATTGCTATGAACAAATTATGAAGTTTCTTTCTTAACAAAAACAAAATTTGCCACTGTTCATAACATTTGTACGAAAACTGATTAAAAGTGTCTTCCCCCCCTAAACGATGCAAGTAATAAAAATGTTTTTTATGTGTAAAGTATTTTTGTGTTGCTTGCATTTAAGACTTAGTAACTATTTAAAGTTAATTCATGATTAAAAACTATATTTTTTATCATTTAAAAAGTCTTTTTAACATTGTGAAAAATCTGATTTCTTAAAAAAGTCTCCTGATTTTTTAGTGTCATAGGTTGGCAAGTATGCCCTTAGAATATCCTCCATGAAAACATTTCTTCCATTAGACAGATAGCACTCAAGTGCTTTGCCATAGTCAAACAAACCAAACTAAAACATACAGGTTGTTTTACTATTTTTAGTGCAAGGGTATTTTGCCCAGAAGGGCTATTAATTTCATTTTGCGTTGGTTCACTATAAATGTTGATTCACTTTTCAAATTGTTGCCACAAAATATTAGAGCCCTGCATTACATTTAAAGAAATTAAATAATGAAGAATATGCATGAATGTATGTTTTCGCTCTGTGAGAAAACAACAGTACCCAGAGACATCTTATTTTGAATAATGTAGCCCTCTATTTGAATATGGACATCTGGAAGCTGAAATTTGGAATTTGTTTTATCTGTTTCATATTTTGTCAAACAAAGAATTTTTGATTAACAAACTCTACAATTTCAAAGCGAGCAATGGCAACACTGTACAGGGAGGGGAAAACATTTTTATTTCCAGACTTTGTATTGAAAATTCTGAAGATATGCTCTTTTAAATATTCTGTGATATTACTGTTGAATTGTATGCTTTAAATGCGAAGAATGTGATATTTAATAAGTAAAGATAACACAAAAGTTAAAAACCCCCCTTTGGGCATAATTTTTATAAAATCTGAAAGCTTTCAGATTTTTAATTTTAGTTTATTTATTATAATTTTTAAAAATCCTTATATAAATTATTATAGCCTAATGTAAATTTTTGTGTTATATGCTGTATTGTTGCAAACCTTTTAAGTGGATTCTGTTATATATAAATAAATTCCAATTAGCAAATAGAGCTTAATAAATTTTTGTTAATGTTTTTATTTCAGATTGCAAATGCTCAGAACAGAGTTTATGTGAACTCCAGTTCTTTGATGTTGAATATTGCCGACAAAGATTTTGACTTGGTTGCCTTAGGATCTTACAATAAGCCAAAATAGGAAAATCTTTGATAATGTTTGATTAGAAAGAACCTTATTTAATAAGCTGTTCAAGATAAGTCTAGGTGTTAATAAATATATCTACGTAGTTGTAGTTCATACAGAAATTTCATAATAAAATAATCAAAACATATTCATTTCATGAATTTTATTCTCTGCTTTTAGTATAAACATACTCATAGAAAAGCTAAAGCATGTTCAATGGAATTGGAATATATAAACATCAAGACTAGAACATATTTTTTATCACAGTATGATGAATGTTGGATACAGCTATCACATACAATATATATATATATATATATTATATATATTAAAAATTGGAAAGTTTTGCAGCATAGCACGTCTTTAAATTAAAATATTGATTTATGTATGAGCTGACCTGCATTCTTGTAGATAAAAGAAATTTCTTAGCATTAGTAGAAAACTTATTACAAACACTGCTATACAGTTGCTCATTATTTCTTCCATGAAATTAATTTTTAAGCTAGAATAATAACTTGATATCCAACAGTTTAACAGCTTGTTTTATTTGTGATTTAACGGTCTAAAGAATTCTACCTAGAAGTAAGATTTTGCCTTGCTATTATATGTAATATAAAATGCATATATAAAAAATGTATAAATAGTGGTAATTTACAAAGATGATCAATTTAAAAAACAAATATTGCCTCTGTTAAAATAAAATTTTGAAGTAACTTCTAATGATTAAAAATACTGTTCACTAATTAATATAAACATAGTCACTGTGAAACTTCAAATGAAATAGGTAAGAGATTTTCATTTTAAGAATGATGTTCAAAATCAAGAGAATATGCATGTTTTTCGTATTTCTGAAGAAATACTGAAGCTAGAAAGTTTGTGGTCAAGTAATAATGCAATATTATATACTCATGTACATAGGCTGCTACAACAGTAAGTATAAAAAAATCTTTGTTGTTCTCATGTACATTTATACACCAGCAATGATCATAGCATTTTATTTAATTTCATAAGCAGTGTAGTGGAATAAGTTGCCATAAATGTGTAGGTCATGGAGTCTGATGGAAAACTGTTATATTGGAGGCACTGAATACTCTTTTTCCATCACCAAGAAAAAGAGACCATTTTGGTGAAAAAGACATACTCTAGAGAGCATCATATTGGATGATCTCACATCACTTCATATACTTGACAGAGGTTCTCTGATTGCTCATAAATGTAAAAAGTGCATATGTGTGATTTTTCAGGGGCACAATTGGCTGTCAGCTCCATTTTATGGATGTTTTGAGCTTTTTTACAAATTGCTCAAATGGTAGACACCTTCAGAATTAGAATATTCGAAAGAATGGATAGGGAGGCGAGGATTTCCAAGAATATGGAGCCAGTACATCATTTTTGGTGCAATTCTTACAGAGTTTCATTAGCTGTGTAATCAACAGTATGATGACTCATAAAGGGCTGTTCCCACTGGAGTTTATCTGGACTAACAGAGACAACTTACGTAGCCGACCCATCTCCAAAACCAGTCTATCCCATAAGGCAGCAAGTTGAAAAATCTGAACTGCATAGTGGAGCTAGTAGATACATGGAACTGACTCTGTTAGCTCAGAATAAACCCAAGTGGGAAGGGCTTCTTACATGTGTATTGGAAATTATCATGTCTCCATTAGCCCCGGCCCACCAGCAGCCGAGCGGTAAAGTCGCTGAACACTGGTAGTTCGGTCCGAGGTTCGAATCCTGCAAACGGGCTGGCTGCATGGGCGTTTTCGTGGTTTTCCCCATGTGTAACGTGTATACGAGCCAGTTTCCCTTAGAAAGTCCTCCACGAAGGCATCCCTCCTCTTAGGCAGATAGCCCTCGAGGCTTTGCCATAACACACACACACACACACACCCAATTAGCCCCATGTTAGGCACCACCTTGCAGTGTCAGGTTTGAACATTGCTGTTGTAAGCATTAATCATGAGTGAACACTTTACTGTTGTATGCTATAAATTGCTGCCTGTATTAGATATCAAATTTCATTAAATTCTGCTGTACAATTTTTGAGAAAACTGAAAACAAATGTTTTTCTTTAAAGAAAACAATACATTCCACCTTATGTATTGCAAACTTATACACGGTTAATTTAGAAGTCAAACAACAAAAATTAGTGTAATATTTGCAAATTTTCGCAGAGCTAGTTTCGAAGGTTTTACCGAACCATCGTCCTCACCTGTCAAAATGCAAATGATTTGCAAACCATCGAAACTAGTCCTGTAAAAATTTGCAAATATTATGCTGTGTTTTGTTGTTTGGCTTCTAAATTAAAATTTGTTCAGCATGTTATTTTACCTTAATTATATAAAGTTGCCAAATATTCATTACATAATGAATAATAAGTGTTATATAAACTTATTTAATGTAATATGTGCATACATGTGAAATAATTTTACTTCCCACTTAAATTAATCTAGCAATTATAAAAACGAAAGTAGATAATTAAGAAATGAATTGTTGCATGTCTGATGTGCATTTTGCCGCACAGTTTTTAAATGGCAGTGAATATTGCATATTAAGGCATTGAAAGTGCTCAGATAATTTTGAAAGATTGTCAATTTACTTTGATTTTGCTATAGGATTTCTTCATTACTTATTTTACAGTATTAAGTGTAGTTAGAGCTCTCCAATAAAATTTTACTTTATAATGTATATATATATGTTAAACCTGTAAAAATTTTTTAATGTCTATTTTTATGGTGTCTTTACTAGTTATTAAATTCATTTTCAATTTCTAAAATAGCTTTTGTAAAAGTATAAGTTAATATAACTTCATAAATTATTAGAATTATGAATATTTCCAATATTTAAACCAGCAATTACTATGCTAGTATGAATTAAATCTTGATAAAATAATCTTTGATTAATTGCAAAAGATTTTAATGTCTTCGTAAAAAATTGTATGGTTTTTCTTGCAGTTCAGAGCTATTGCATATTATCCGGTTTATAGTTTTTAAAAATAGAAATAACTTTCAAACTGTAATTTTCTTTTTGGATGGAATAGGGAAAATTTTGTACTAAGGAGATCACAAAAGTAACAACCATAAATGTCTGCTGCATGAGTACATGGTATGAAATGATTTTAATGTGCATTACATATTTAGATTTTTATTTGTTATTACTAAGGACAATGTTGAAATTCAATGAATTAATGCCACTTAAAATATTACAAATCTCATTCCCCCACCCTTAGTGATTTTCAGAATAATTTTTAGTTAAATTTATTTTTATCTGAAATGTATTTTTTCCTTATTACATTTAAATGACCTTTTTCTTGTTATTATTATTTTTTTTTTTACTTGAGTTATCTTAATTTACTGTAGACATTTGTAGATTTTTGTATGGAAATTCAGACAATGCTTAATCGGGCAATTTTTAATTAATTTAAAATTAAATTTCTTTTATTACTTTATTTTACTTAATTTTTAATGTATGGTGTGTTACTAATTTTACCACACAAATATTACATATATTAAAGTACGTGTATAAATAAAAGCTTTTCTTCCCTACTCGGAATTTTATAAAATTTGTGGTATAAAAGTTTCAAGAAAATTTTAAAAATGAAATTAGCTAAAAAAGCATAAAATTTAGATTTCCATTTAAATGCTTATATATTTTGCATAAAAATTGCAAATTAATTATTTTTGCCTTAATAAATTTTAAAATTGAGAAATTTTTGCTTAATCCTGATGAGCATTCCCAATCCTGAGCACTTCCAGTTGCATTAAGCTGTAGCTGAGCTTTTGTGATAAAATATGCTGAATAAAATGGCAGTGATTGATAAATGCTTAATTTTTTGTAAATATCACTTGCATTCAGAATATGTTAAATGAATTAATGATATTCTTTCATTTAGTCTGGTAAAATTATCAGTTGTCAAAAGATGTTCATAAGTGGTCACATCGTGAAAGTATATAATGCCAGAACTTAGTTTGATACATGAACTAATTTGAAGAGTACATGGAATTAAATTCACCATTGTATTTAATATTTTAAATGTTTAAATTTAGAACTTTAGTTATTTTTTTGCTTGGAAATGTTAATCTAGATAATTTGATACGAAAAATGCTGTGTGTTCCGATGAAGTGATTCTTAAAATTGTACAACACGGAATATTTCTAAAATCAGCACCCTAAAAAGTTAAGACACTATGAACGGTATAAAATGAATTTGATGAACTGTATGCAACTGAAATTATAACCTGAGCTGTAATATGTTAATATTTTGTTCATAAACTTCATACTTTTATCTGTTCATACATCACTTGCACCCAACAGTAATAGCTAGTAACCTGTTTTACATACACAATTAAATGCGTAAGCAAATATGCACCCAACACTTTGCTGTTATAACTTGTGTAGAAGTGGGATTTTGACACCCATCTAACAGTAAAATTTAAAACAATATCACTTACATCTCTAATGCTTTGCTATTTTAAATAAATGCTTTGGTCCACTTATGTTTTTAAATATTCACGATTCCTCTGATGACAATAGGCGTTCTAAGTTTTGGCATTCAAGAACTGCTGCTCCAATGCTGCTCCTACGTAGACTCATAGAGGTGACTAGCATCCACTTATTGTGCCTTGGATCATATCTTTCCACTGTACTGAGACTTGAGCTGCCATCATTACCTCCTATTGCATAGAGGTATCCCTCTGCTTCAACCACCTCATGTGTTGTTCTGTAGGCGGGAAAAAAAAGTTATATAGATGTATGCAATGTTTTGAAAATATTGTTTAAAAAGATTATATTGATTTAAATATTTTCACGACTTGTCCCAAAAGTCGTGAAATATATTTTTAAAGATTTATTAACAGGATTTGTACAAAATGCTATTATTCATCAAAATACTGTCCATAAGCATCTTTACCTTTGTTTCACCGATTCTGCGATGCCCGGCAAGGCCTCAATAAGAATTTCCTTTAAAGTTGCTGTCACAGCAGCTTGCATAGCCACAATGTCAAAACAGCATCCTTTGAGTTCTTTTTTGATCTTTGGGAACAAAAAGAAGTTGGACAGAGTGAGATCAGGACTGTGGGGTGGCTTCTACAGCATTGCCCTATTATGCCATTGCCAACTCATGGACAAGCAGAGATTGTGACTCTACACATTGTTGTGATGCAGCAGCCTGGTAGCATCGATGTTTTTACGCGCACAGAGGACCCTTTTCCTTAATCTTTCCAGAATACTACTATAGTGGGCAGTGTTAATGGTCTGTCTTTAAGGTACAAACTCTTCGTCAACCACATCCTTGGCATTGAAAAAGACAATCAACATTGTCTTCAATTTGTATTTGCTCATCCTCAGCTTCTGTTTTTGGGGTATGCCCTCTGGTGCTTCATCTCTGGGTCATACAAGAACTGAACTGTCCACGTTTCATCACCGGTAATAATGTCATTCAAATAATTCAGTTCACTTCCCACACATTCCGTCAGTTCACTCGCAATCAACACTCAATTGGCATTTTTATGCATGTGAAGATTTGGGGGACCAGCTTGGTCCCCCAAATCTTCACATGTTCACACTTTCACATGTTCAATTCTTCCATAACGATGCGATGCACACAATAGTTTTCAGAGTGTAAGCTAATCGCCAAACACTCACTTGATGGTCAATATTCAACAGCTCATACACACAAGTCACATTTTCATCAGTTTGGTTTCCTGATGGCCGTCTAGAGCAGAGACATCGTTCGCCCATTCCCCCTTAAACTTCTTCATTCACCTCATAAATTGCACATATGAAAAAGGGGACTCTGTGTAGGTTTATTTAAACAGTTTACAAGTTTCTGCAGCTGTTTTTTCAAGTTTTATGCAGAACTTGATCATCCAGTATTGTTCACAAGTATCCGCCATGACATCTCAAAAGAAGGGTGCCCTAAATCAATGATCATGATGGCACTGATGCTCAGAGCAGACTGACTAGAGTACATTGCAAAACTGAGAGTTCTGCGTACTTAACTTGTCATCGGGGCAAGAAAAAAAAAAAAAGTATATTTAATGATTTTTGGGACACACCTTGTAGATAAATAATCAAGCATTTAACAAATGTAATTTTCAAATTATGCAAACACAATACACTTAAATATATATTTCATGAAAAAAGATTTTGCAGCAGATGATACTTTCTTAGAACTTTTTTATGCATTGAACTCGCAAGTTTCTGAATTGCCATGCGGTATTATGTGCCAAGCATTGTACATGTGACTGCTCAGCTCAACTTTACTTCATGGTGGAGGAGATGTTTCAGATTGGGGTTTGGTCTGGCTAAGAGAGTATTTGCAGTGCATTCATCTTGAACCAAATTCTGTATGGTCAGGCATTAACGTGCTGACAATTGGCATTTGAGATGTCCTGAAGATGCAGACTGGGCTGTAGTTAGTCATTGTGCCTGTAATGTGCAACAGAGATGAATGGCTGTCTGCACTAACAGACTAACAAACAAAGTCCTAAACAATAATTTTACATCGATAGGCTCTGTATTGCTTGAAAATAGGAGATGCATTCATACAGTTGTCAGGCTGCCTACAGACTTTTGTACGCAGATCATCGTTTGTAAAATTTGTTGCTGAAGACTGCAATATCATGTTTAGTGTTCAGCATTGCTGTGGCACCATTACAGATGCTTATGACAGTGGCTTGCTATTATTTGAAACCTCCATAAAGGACTGTTAGACATCAAACCTGCATCAGTCAAATGTCATAAAATTGTAATCATCTTTTTTACACTGTCTAGTGTTTTGTGTAGTTGTGGACTGTGGGTTAGATATGGCATGATATAGTATGCAGCAGTTAAGTGCATTCTGACATTCTTCTTGCTCCAAACCATTGTGGCACTATACATTTCCTTCCTGGATTCATTTATACTAAATCCAACCAGCAACTGTGATGTCAATCTGTGTTTCATCCATGATACCACTCGGGGACCAGCCAGCAATGAAGCTTAACAATGAAGCCCTTTGTTAACTTGAGTGTGTGATGATACTGAATATAATGATGCTTTAAAGAATTGCCAAAATCTTCTTTGTTCACAGAGTTAGATTAACAAATTACTGCTGAGTGATGTGTCTTTAACATCATCATTATCATATATAATGATGATGTTAAAGACATCAATCTGAGTATTTTAGTTATGGGAAAAGCATAGTACAGAAGCAAGACTTCAAATTTCGAAACATTTAGTGCTTACGCGTAACATGCATAAAGTTTTGCGTACAATATGTTGATTTTTTAAAGACATTATTTCTGTTTTTAGAGAATTACAGCACCAAAAATGAATTAAATTGATGTGATATACTATAAAATCATCAGTAATAATGTAAGATTACTTCATTTTTGTATGGGATGAATGAAAATCACTAACCTTCTAGTATGCATGGATGCCATAGCTTCCCAAGCACCTTTAACTGGATCGAATCTTTCCACACTACACATGCATAAACTGCCATCGTTGCCTCCCACCACATACAGCATACCATCTAAGACTGCAACTCCAGAGCTACTTCTCCTGTTGATCATAGGGCATATTTGTTGCCATTTGCCTTCCTTGAATTGGAAATTGAAAGAAATTCTTGTTACATCATTTATTAATTACATCATTATTTTGAACTTCAGATTTTGCAATTATTTTGAATGTCAAATGAATTAATTGCACTTCAAAATTTTCGGAAAAATGAATAATCTGAGATCATATGAAAATCTCCATTGGCCCTGTAAATAAATAAAGGGAACAATTAGCTGTACCTAAGTTTACATGTTAATTTCGCATGAATTTAGTTAACTATCCTCTTTAATGATTTAAATTTGCAAATGAGATTGAGTTAAAGGTGTTTCATTTTTTTTTTTCACATTTTTTTACATTACAAAAAAAGGCTTTTTATGAGAAATTCTGATGACGCTAAAAACTTTGCAGATATTGCACACATTTCAGAGTTTTTAATATATATTTTATTTTAATATGGAGTTGAAATCTATTGAAGATATAATACAGTAAGAAGTCTTTAATAAGGACTTGTCGGGACTTCGGTGATTCCGGATTAGGGGTTTTTCTGGATTATAGATCATCAGTTTAAATCTGGTGAGATGGCATGAAGAAATTATACAATTAAAAATATGAAACCGTAATTTATGAAATAAAGGGCAATTATGATCTAAAGGGTAATCAAATTTACAAAAAAAAAAAAGCTTATATTTATTTTTTTACTTTATTAAACATTTCTTTCAATGTAAGTTGTTTAAGTTGCTGCATTTTTTGTGCTAATACTTTCTCTTTAATTCTATAAACAGACATAATTTCTTGTTCAGTTCCACTGTTCAAGTCCTTTAATTGCTGTGTTCAGAATACCAACTAACTTGTCAATTGAAATTTTTTCGTTTTCAATAACTTCTCTGTCACTTTCTTCACTATCGAAAGGGGTACATCGAAACATGCTTTCGCTTTGTAGATCATTTGGCAGCTCCAGAATCGGAAAATTCTTTTTGACATAATCGAAAGTTCAAGCTTACTTTTTATCAAATTGCTGTAACAGTCTGCAAAAAATAATAAGCCGGATCCAATTAGAAGATGTAGTAAGATTAAAGCAGATCTAGCAGACATTCTTATAATATATGTATTATGCTCTACTGAGGAAAAGATCTGTGGTGATTTAAGAATATATGTCTGATTTACCAGCAAATACTTCAGAGATGGCTGAAGTATATGTAAAAGTTATATTCCAATACTGAACAAATTTTATTAGCCCTATAATAGAGTGACCCTCATCTCATGTGAAACGGGCAATTTAATAATATTGTATCACTTTCTGAGTTCTTACTTTGTCTTTAGACCTTGCTGCTTGAAAATGATTTGGAAACGTACAAAATAACATAATTTAATTCTCTATAGGTATGTGCACAATACTGTTATCTATTATAATGAATAATTTTTAACAAAAAAAAATTTACCCTTGGATCTAAGCGTTCAACTGAAGAAGCGTAATTAATTCCATCATAACCTCCAACAACATATATTGATCCATCTAGAAAAGAAATGAATTTTAATACATAACATAGAATATATACAATATATCTATATATCCATCTGAAGCTTACTGCAACACTTATAATTGTCATTATACAGACATACCATTCTCATATTTCATACCTTCCTTTTTATAATGTACAGTATATTGTGCATACTTCTTAAATACATTTTCATCAAACATTACTCCATATGTGTATATAACCTATATCTTTCGTTCTAATGACTTTCTATCTTGAATGGAAAAGAAGCTTGTTCTATTGGAATAAGTAAACAAATAGTTTGACTCTACTAATAATATACAAAATGAGAATGCTTGTGGTAAGATAGGCCATAAACTCAGTTGTTTCCTATGTGATATAATGGAGTTCTTTTCGGTATGTTCTAACTGTAGTTTGATCTTGTTATGAATTTCATATGTATGTAAATAATTTTAATGAAATTTTCCCCCTCTTGTATAATGTAACAAGAAAATTTAAGGCCCATATCACACATGCCTTTGTTTCATACAAACAACTACTTTGGACGATTTTTCTGCCTGGTTTTACCATTGAAAAAAAGTTGTGCATTCTTTTCAAAAAAGAATTTGCAAGTTGTTTGTTTTCAATTAATCTGCTATCAGCTTGTTTGTAATGGAGAACCAGTTTCCCCTTTACATGTTAACCCCAAAGTGATCTATGGTGATTGGCTGTTGTGACAAAGCAGGAAAATTGTTCCAGTTGTTCTTTTGAAACAAACGGATGTGTTGTAGCAGCGTAAAGAAGCTAAGGTTGCTGGAAATGTAAGAATACAAGTGCAAGTCTGTTTAACATTAAGTAGCTAAGTTGGTGATGGTTTTGGCAACTAATTTTTGTAACCAAATTTGGTTGATGTTTTGGTCTGCTCCATGTATAACTGTTATGGGTATTGTAATTTAATAAATATAATCAATGCTACATGGAGCTGTAACCATATCTTGCCTCATATGTCTTCCAGTAATTTTATTTTTCTGGGTCTGGGTGAAGATTAAGTCTAACATCGGCTCTCAGTTGTTAGTTCAGAGCTGAATTCAGAGTATTGAGATATCTGTGTCAGCTTCAGTCTTTAGAAGCTCTGTTTAACATTCTTAGTTTGAAGTGTAACTTCTGATTGTGCTCTGTGCTACTGTGAAGAGCTGAATGAGTTATTATTATTATTATTATTATTTGTAATATTCCAGAAGTGAGAAGAGTTTCTTTTGGTAAAACAAATTTTATCAAGGTATTAGTTCTGCATGCATTCAATCTATTATGAACCCATACGCATGCAATAGTTCTTGGTATCAGGAGTGCAGTTGAATGCTAGTGAGAAGAGCAATTAAGACAATTCGTGGCAGCCTTTGGTGCATTCAAAGAAGAGCTGAACGTGGAACAAGAATCCTTTAACAAGGAGATGAAAATGGACCAAGAAAGATAGAAGGATCCTTTAGCTAAAGAAGAGATGGAAGCAGTTAAGAGGTAATGAAAAGCAAAATCACTGTCATAATAAAAAAATAAAAAAAAAAAAAAATTCAGGGGGTTTAAAAAGACAGTAGGAGGCTCCAGTTAAGGTCTTGCCAACAGAAGCTCACAGAAACACTCCAAAAGCTCACTATGCATGTTGAAAGGCTATCTCATCTCATGTTTTTGTCCAACAAAAACAAGGGAAGTGCAGTATTTCATTGATGGCATCCCAGGATCCTTAGGTATAGAAAGTCCTGAGAATGGTGGATGCCAAGGATTTAAAATGCACTTTAGTGTGTATGCCATGATATTCAAGCAAATCGTAGAGACTGCCACCCAGTCAGAGCTGATCCAGTCCAGGAGCCAGTGTATCAAGTGATTATGACTTAACCAGGCAAGTCAGTACCTTGAGATGAAATAGGAGTGACAAGAAACTGACCCTAAAGTGCTGTGTTGAACCCCACATACGAAGGAATTCCAGAACTCGGGAAGGCACAGAAGCTAAGACTGCTATTAGCAAGAAGGAGGGAAACTGATTAGTGGCCATCTTGCAGGCAAAGGTGCCAGATAATGACCCATTTTAGCGCTTCTGATTTCTGCAGTGAGTGGTGGCAGTAATGGTCTCTTCATCATGAGAAATATGAATGGAGTTCCTTGCAATAGGACCATCAATATAAGAGCTACTGTTGCTCTATCTGAAAAGATTTGGCTAAACAGTCAGAAGGTAAACTCATCTGGACACCTCTTTGTGTTGCCTTCCAGACTGTGTTCATGAGTAAAAATGATATTGATAAAAATTAAACATAAACATCATGTTTGGAAGAGCTGCCTGTCATCATTCGGCATATATAGCAAACATTACAGACTTTTTACAGAAATACAATTTTCTGTTGAAAAATAACGAACTGCATTCTGCTTCTGAGAACATAAACTTGTTTGGAATTAAAGATGAAGGAGTAAATCCGTCCACGAAATAACTGATCAAGATGAAAACACAGTACCAGCAAGAACAGAACTTTTACTTCCTGGATCCATAGCTAGAAATTTTGGGTGCGACATCATGGGATATCCCAAGAGCTGTAACTACGCGAAAGAAGTACTAGTAGCCTCAGCACTCGACCTATTGAGGACCATTTTATCCTGGTGAGAGTTGCGAGTATAAGTGATAAGGTGAAAGTCACCAGGAAAGGTGAAGTGATTGTGGCATGTATTCTAGTGACCTGCATTAACAACTGTAAACACATGACTTGGCTTATTACAGATGCTATTAGTTGACTGCTAACCTGTAGCGACTTTATTTGAGGACTTACCTCTCAGTGTCTTATATATATATGTATATATGTGTGTGTGTTTTCTCATTATTTTTATTTACTTTTAATATATTATTTAATCAATTAATCAAGATCTTTCCCTACCTCTTTTAGAATTTCCCTCCCTTTCATGTATATTCCCTTCAAACATTAAATGTTGAAATATGCTAAACGCACAGCTAAGCATAAAACACCTATGTGAATAATGTAAAAGCCCAATGAAGTACAAATTTGTGCACTTGTAATGCTGTATATAACATAATTGTGTGTAATCTGCAGTGCTAGAAATTATCACAGTGAATAATGAATGTAATAGTCTAATTGAAGCATGTACTTGTGCACCATGTAATATTTTATTTAACAGTATGCAACCTGCAACGCTTTAATCAGAAAATGTGTGCCTGCTGGTAGTAGCTTTTTTCTCAGTCATGTTGACATTAATCCGTTAGGCACCACAGCCTTAGGCCGGATGTCATCTCGATGACAAGAAGTAACGAGAAATCCTTCAAACTGGTTTCTTCAGCTCATCTTGTGACGTAGGTGGAACCAGTTTGACTTAGCATAGAAGTGACACTAGGGATCATCCACCAGTCAAGCAACATCCCAGACAAATACCAATTTCTATAGGAAGAGGTAAGAAGACTTCTAAAGGATATGCAAGAAAGCGACGTTATCAGACCTTCAACAAGTTAATGGGCGTCTCACATTGTCGTAGTCAGAAAGAAAGATGTTCAAGTAGATTTTCTGTTGACTATCGCTGTTTGATGCTGGCTATGAAGAAAGATAGCTGCCCTCTTCCTAGAATTGGTGATGTTTTGGACACTTTTTCTAGAAGCAAGTGTTTTTTTATGCTTGATTTATTGAGTGGGTATTGGCAGATAGAGATACAATGCGATGATCGAGAAAAGATGGCACTTACTGCTAGACAAGGACTTTGAAAAGGTGATGCTCAAAGAGGACTTTCTTACAAAGCCTGTCTGATATACCTGGATGACATCATCACTGGGGAGATTTCAGGAACATTTAGAATATCTGATGTGCTTCAGAAATTGAAAGAAGCCAATGTGAAGTTAATACTCGCCAGATGTAAACTGTTCAGACAGGAAGTGACTTACCTTGTACTTGTCATCTCTGCTGAAAGTGTGTCCAGAAAAAGTGTCAGCAGTTAAAGACTTGAGATGTCCCGAAAATGTCCATCAGCTAAGAAAATTCTTGGACCTACTAGGACATTAATGAAGGACTTTACTTCCATCGCAAGTCCTCTTCATAAGCTGATAGAAAGCAAGCAAAAGTTCTTGCGGGCAAAGGAATGTGGAGATACATTTAACAAATTGAAGGAATCTGTAACATCTGCTCCAGTTTTGACGAATCCTCAACTTGGAAACCATTTATTCTCGACAAGGATGCTAGTAATGAGAGTGTCAGTGTTGCTCCGTCCTAAGAAACAAATGATCAAGAGTGTATTGTGGCATGCTAAAGCAAGTATCTGTCTAAACCAGAGAGGAATTACTGTGTCACCACTGAAGAGTTGCACAATATATATATTTGAAGCGGTAGAATATTTCCATCATTATCTCTGGCAGAAAATTCCTGCTGTGTACAGATCATGCATCGTTGACCTGGCTTTTAAATCAAGAATCCCAAAGGTCAAATAGTGTAATGTACGAAGAGACTCCAAGAATATGACATTACTATCATCAGGAGGGATCATCACGCTGAAATGCTGATGCCTTGTCTAGAATACCCTGCCCAGTCGAAGCAAAATACAAGCTGTTTAATCCAGATGCAGGAAAGTTACAACCTCAACATTGGCTGATTGAACATTGCCAACACTGACCCTTGGAATGAAGAAGTCAGAAAATACCATCTGGAAAATGACGATATTAAACCCATAATTGACCTAACTGAGTCATCAAACAGAAAAACATTACCTGGCATGCCATTTCGATCTGTAGTCCTACGATAAAATAATATTGGGCTCTCTGCATATTCAAAATGACGTCTCATACCAGAAATTCGAATCGGATGATGGAGAGGCATTCTGATGGCAACTGATGCTTCCAGAATCCTGGACGTCCTGAAAGAATTACATAACAGTCCAATAGGAGGCCACTTCGGAATAATGAAGACTTGAGAGCACTTCTACTGGAGTAATATGCAAGGGATGACCTGCAAAAGTGATGCCAGTCTTGCAGTGATTATGCTGATCAGAAAGAACCAAAGAAGCGCAGTTGAGGGAAGCTGTATTGTTAAATGTAGGAGTGCCTCTTGAATAGCCTTTGATATTCTTGAAACTCTGCTGAACTGGCAACAAATACTTTCACGTTGTCATTGATTACTTCACGAAATGGCCTGAAGAGTATCCTATTCATGATGAAGAGGCTGTTACGGTAGCAGAGGTAATGATACAACATTGGATTTCCAGGTTTGGAATGCCTCTACAGTTACATTACGATCAAGGAAGAAATTTTGCATTGTCTGTAATTAAAGAACTCTGGAAGCTACTCTGCATTAACAAAACTCAAACTACACCTTTACATTCCCAGTCAGATGGTATGGTAGAGAGGTTAAAATGAACCATCCTTAATAATCTCTTGCTGATGGTTTTAAAAAACCAACAGGACTGGGACCAGAATTTACCACTGTTTTTATGGCCTATAGCAGTGCTGTTAGCGAGTCTACTGGCTACTCTCCATTACAGATGCTCTTTGGTCATGACCTTTTGTCCACCTTGTGATGTCTTGTTTGGTCGCCCTCTGGATGTGCCTTTATTGCCTGAGGAGTACATCCAAGATCTCCAGGCACGAGCTTTAAAGCTATACACAGTTTTGTAAGAGAGTGAGTCATCTTGCGACTGGAGAAGATGAAGACCCAATATGACACGAGAGCTACAATGCATCGATTCAACAAAGGAATCAGTTCCGACTTTGTGGGATCAGATTCGACGGAAAGGACTCTCTCCTAAGCTACAGACACTTTGGGACAGTCCATACGCAATCCTACAGTAAACAGTGTCATAGTTCGGATGTCGTAGTCGTCTACTGAACAGTATTGTAGTTCGGATCCAAAGTAAGCAAATTCTAAGCCTAAAGTCATTCAGTATAATAGGCTAGCCCCTTAGTATGTATAGTATTTAGTCATCATAGTGTATATAATGTAAATAGTATGCTAAGACTGTGGTCATGTTTGTAAATTAATGCATTTATTTGTTGGTTTAGCATTTTATTTATGTCATTTATTGAAACTGTTATTGTAGTATGGCAATCTGTCCAGGAAATGTACTGTGCAAGACATTCAGTTCTTTTGAAGTGAGAAATCTTACGAATTTTGTACTTATATAAATAATTTTAGTGAAATTTTATGCGATTTTTTTTGGGGGGGGTATTGCATAACATGAAAATCTAAAGAAGTGCAGCTTGCTGGAAAAGTAAGAATACAGAAGCAAGTCTTATTTAACATTGAGTAAATGGCTATCTTACTAAGTTGGTGAGATATTTGCAAGCTGATTTAACATTGAGTAAATGGCTATCTTACTAAGTTGGTGAGATATTTGCAAGCTGCCAATGTTATTTCTGGGAACTGATTTTTGTTGCTAAGTTCTAACCCAAATTTTATCCTATGCCAGAATTTCATGACATATCATTAAGCTTTGTGATTCCCCCTTATCTTTTTTTTATATTAATTATTTGGCAAAATATCAGTGAATTCACTTTCTAGATTTGTTACTTGATTCATTATCCGACTTTACATTTCATGAGGTAGAATTTCCCGTATTGCTTTAAAATTGCTGATTTGAATCACCTTAAATCTTGGCTGCATGGGAGTTTTTGAAATTCTTTTAGGCATGCCTTTCCTTAGGCAGATAGTGTAGATTGTGTTAATTTCAAATAGCTAGCTTTAAATTTTAAAACAGATCATATTTTTTTGTAAATGACACCTTAATTTTTAGTCTGTGGCACAGTTAAGTGCAGATTGTGATTTTATTTCAAATCTGAAGATGGGTTTTTCTGTAAAACGTTACAGTTTTTGAAGGTAAAGCAGTATGATGGGAAAAAATTTGATTTAAGATATTGGTTAAATAATCCTTGGGGGGGGGTAGCTGCTAAACAATGTTAAAAGCAATTTTAAAAAAAATCTAAAATCTAAGTATATTTGGTAGGCAGCTTATCTGCAAATTTCATGAAGTTTCAATAGCTAATATTTTACTATTATTTTGAGAAATATTTAGAGTTTTTAAGTAAGGAAGGGAACTGCACTAAATGGAACTCTGCACTCCAAGGCAGAAAAATACATGAATTAATTAAAGTATAAGCAGGAAAAGATGTCTTATTAACCCCTTTTCAAATCTGGACGTTGCATCCATTACTGTGAGAAAAAATCTCTCTTCCTCAAAGAAGTCTTTACAATGAATTGGGTACACCACAGCATTACCACTTCTCATGTCTATTAACACTAATAAATCATAGATTAGCTATGAATGACCTCAAATTTTGAATATATTTTTTAAATACTCAAAAGCTTCATAATAAGATAACAAAATTGTCAAGTACCTTTACAAGGAAAAAGATCAAGATTTACACTACCTGGCATTGAAAATGCAACACCAAGATGAGTGGCCTGAAAATTAAAATTTCAGAGTACATGCACGTGACCCAGTTATACCAATGATGCGTAGCTCCGGAACCTGCAGAATGTTCAGTTTCTGTGCCATTATTTCTGCTACGGAAATAATCGTAGAAAATTTGTACTTGTCTCAGAGAACGGATGTAATAGAGAATTCCAGGCCGTCGTTAACAGAGGCAGTTCCAGCAGACAAACGATTTTAAGAGTGACATGGTGGTCGGACTGAGAAGTGCAGATTAGTCCATATGGTAAATCTCAGCTGACACATATCTGGGTGCATGCGTTGGCTGTGGTGAGGATGGTTGGAACAAAGAATTGTGGCAAATTTGAGGGGTGCCAGTGCAGCCAAAGGGATGTCAGCACTAGTGAATCGATGAATCCGCCAACAAGGGGTGGTGCACCTGCAAGCCACTTCTACCTCCATTCTGCAGCATGTTCAAGACACCTTTGATATTCCCATATCCACCAGAACCATTTGCCGTCAATTTGTGGCCTGCACTCATGTCATTCATTAAGAAAATTGCCATTGACCCCCATATCATAGATGCCAATGTCTGCAAGCATGCCGGACTCGAGCGATGTGGACTATGAAAGGGTTCACAGATGAGTAACGCTTCTGCTTCGCTTCTTCTGCTACGGAGGGACTGTCCATTTGGCAAGACCATTCACAAAGTAGTCCGAAAAGTAATTGAGGCTCTGTTTTAAGATGAATTTAAATTACAAAAGACTGTATCCCTCGGCAGATATCCCCAAGAGTGATCTGACTAAGCTATTTCATCTCTGATTATGATAGCTCTATAATTAAATATAATTCTAGCATCACAAATTTAAAATAAAATGAGTAATAAAAGTTGTGCTCTATATACATCGACCTTGTTCTACCACAGACATGTTCAATGTCAAAGCTGAAATTAGAGTTTGGATAAAATTGCTAAATAGGAACAATCCTTTCTTTACGAATATGCATTTACTTGTTTCTAGTCCAGCAGTTAGTAAAATTTCCAGTCTCAGTAAAATAATTTCTAAGTGCTAATATCAGAGCTGCTTTAACCAGTGCAGCTGCACCAAGTGGTAGGTAGGATTTTAAGGGTGGTAAGATTTTTAGAATTAAGAGAGGCTCAGGGTAAAAGAATTTAAAAACACTGAGATTGCAGTGGACAGTGGGAAAATGGTCAGTCATGGGAACTCTAAATATAAATAGCTTGATATTCCAGCTTCAAACCAGCAAATGGATTTTCAGATCCTGTGTTAAATTTTTAAACCTAAAATTCCAACTGAAATTGAAAGCACATATTGCAACTTTTTAACATTCCGAAGACATGGCTAATTTCTATATTTGAAAAGGTTTCTAAAGAGACAACTAGTCATCGAAACATGTTTTACATAATTTTTTTAAAAAGAAATACTTCACATGACAGAATTTCTCAAGTTCACACAGTTAGTTGTACAGCTTTACAAAGCATGATTCCAAATCATCTCATCCAATCTTTTAAATCCAACATATTCCAAACAAATCATTTGAAGGGGGATAAAAAAACCTACAGTACCGTATATTTTAATATCAATACGGAAAGAACTAAGCACAGAGTTCCTCAGTGTAACAAGTGCCAAAGTTATTATTGTTCCTCAGAAAATTTGTTTCTTTTAATCTTGATGTATCAGATATGCTCAGCTGCACTATTCTATCTGATGAAACTGTAATTATTCACATCTCACTGATTACTGTGGGTAACCCAAATTTCCAAAACTAAAACCAAGTATCAAGCTATGTATCAGTTTCCCACAAGGTACCAATTCCTTAAAAAACATTACTTCTGATGACACTAGATAATGATTCGCTCTACCCTCAATAACGCTGCTAATAATATAACAGCACCAAGCATTATTCAATCAAATTTAATACTTTCGATTCAGAAATGTCCGATTCTAAACATGAATGAATTGTATTATTTTCTATGATCAAAGATTTGAAAAGTGTCTCCATGTTACATTGTTAAACTCAATGTAATGTTATCCCTAGTTACCTAAACATTATGTAACCTAACATTAGTAATGTAACATTACCTAAATATAATGTGTATCTTCCCACTGTCATAATTAACTTTTCATAGAACATCATTCATCTTTTATGCTTGTAAAATAAACTTTCAAATTGTCCACATTTTCATTAACTTTGCTTCAATGTTCAAAGTAATTTTATTTTTTCGTACCTCTAGAGTATCTAAAAGAAATATTTTCTAGTCATGCTATCTCTAAGCATGGTGACATGGCTTATATGCTAATATATGCAACTTTTCTGTTCGTAATTATTTGCATTTGGTAAATACCACACAGAATCTCCAAATTAGATTAGAAGAATATGTATAAAAAATTGGTAAGCCTTTGGGTGACGTTATTTTCAAAATTAACATATTTACAATTGGCATACATTGTTCCGTGGATTTTCTGAATAAAATCTATTAATATTCAATAACTGTGTCTATTATTTGCTTAAAAATCTCTAGACTGCTTTGTCAGATGACACCTTTGAACTTTTAGAGTTTTAATGCAATATTGTACCAGAATAGATATTTATTTACAATTACTTACCTAATACTCCCATCCTGCAATATCTTCGTCTGTTTTCCATTGCTGCAACAGAAGACCAAGTTGTGACGAGAGGGTCATACCTTTCGACGCTGTTCAAACAAGATGCTCCATCGTAACCTCCCCCTGCATAAAGCAATCCATTAAGTGATGCCACTCCTAGACAACTTCTTTTGGTTCCCATTGGTGGCACAGGTGACCATTTGTTAGTTAAAGGGTTGTAACATTCAACTGAAGATAAATCTTTGGAACCGTCATAGCTAAAGAAACATAATTTTAGATACCTTATTGACAAAAATTACCAGAAATTAGAGAAAGAAATAGAATTTTTTCAATAGCTTGTGAAGATATGCCATTTTAATTACATGAATAAAACTTGAAACTGTTAACGATCTAAAGTTCATTCTCTATTTCTAGTTAAGCATTCTAACAAAATACCCTTTCTTAATGTTTCACGTTTTTATATATGTTTATGGTGTAGTACTAAATATAAGTAACTGAGGTAAATTTTCTTTCTTCTACTTGCTTACTGTTGTGTTAATTGGTGATAGAGGTAACAGATTCTTTACAATCTGTTCAAAGGATTTCCATAATAAGAAGTCATGAAAGACTTCTACAACCAAGAGAATGGGTTTGATTTAAAAAAAAAAAAACACAGATGCTCATTACCCAGAACAGAATTATTAAAATTAACTACAAACTATGTTTCTGAGTTTGCTCAACATGGAAATCCAGTTTGCTTAGAAACCTTCCTTACAGTATGTTTTTTTCCTAACAGATATAGCAAAAAAAAAAGTAAGAATTTAATTAATTAGGTGGCTAGCTTGAATTTCTTGGCTAAAATAGCCTTGTTAGAAGTATTTCTTATTTTGTTCAAATTAAGAAATGCACACAGATTAAATTAACATTGATTGTTTTTGTACTCAAAATGATCAAAAGATTATTTTAGAATCACTACATTTTTTTCTCTATTGATTGTCAATAGAGAAAAGATTGAACAGTGTGTAACATCAAATTAGTCAGTTGAACCATCAATAGCATTTCACTACTTACCCTCCAACTGCATAAACTAGCCTTCCCACTCCAGCTACACCCGCTCGAGACCTCCTGTGTGAAGTGGATGCGATGGGAGACCACCGATCTGTCCGCGGATTGTAGTATTCACATTCGCAGTGGATGGCAAAGAGAGATCCACCACCTGCAAACATCGGAACAAGGGGCTTATTTTTGAAATTTGCGAAAACACAAGGTCCTAAAAAAGAAGTGATTGAGCATCAATGATGATCAGACGGTGAACAACGAAGCAGTTTAGCTAAAGGTTGAACGATTCCCAATCTTTGTAAAAAATGATCACATTTTTTATGTAAGAGCCATGTTTTATCTCTAACAGAATCTAGATGTGAGAGAGTTCCTTGCCTGTAGACAATACCTATAGCCATGTTAGGAGAAAAGCATATAGTCAATGTTGCTTATCCGGTTATAAAAAGAAACAACCACTATGTCCTCTCATCTTTAGCAATCAATATCACATTTTTAAATCCAAATGATGAACGGCAAATGACAGGGTGCATTCTCCTTGGTATGATTTCTAATGATACAATCTGTCTTAACTGCTCGCATTTTGCATGGATCTAACGCTGACACATTCTTTCAGATTGTAGAGGTCACACAACCCAAAAGCATTATCATAGTTTATTGTTGCTTTTAAGTTTTGCTATCACAATATCTTCCTGGATGTTTGGCATAAGATCTCTATTAGACACTGGGTATAATAATCGTAGCATATTATATTTTGGGGTATCTGGGCAAAAGGAGTTTCCTCCATATCGATTTATGTTCTAGAAATATACGTAGCATATTCGGAAACTAAGTACCGTTTCATTCTAGCGCCGTAGCAGCGCTGTGGTAGGTGTCCCGCGCATGTGCACTAGTCTTTCTTGTTCACTGACTTTCAGTTGTCACCATTTTGGTTGCTCTATGTTGTGTTTTCAGTTTGCTGTGCACATTCAAAATGTTTAAGACAATTAGTTCTCCCGCCGACTGTGAGATTCGTGCCGTGATTAAATTTTTGAACGCGAGGAATGTAAACCGGCCGAAATTTATCGTCAAGTGACAGAAGTTTACAGTGAATACGCGATAAGTGATGGAATGGTGAGGAAGTGGGTAAGAATGTTTAATGCAGGTCGAACAAATGTCCACGTAGAGGCTCGGAGTGGTCGGCCTTCTGTTGTCACCGATGATTTGGTAAGGAAAGTTGATGAAGCAATTCATGAGAACGGACGCTTCACAATGACAACTCTTTCAGAGGCATTTCCACAAATTTCACGTACTGTTTTGTTCAAAATTGTGTCTGACCGCTTGAATTATCGCAAACTGTGTTCCCGATGGCTTCCAAAAATGCTCACTGATGTTCACAAAACAAAGCGACTTTGTAGTGCCCTGACATTTCTCACGCGGTACAGTGATGAGGGAGAAAACTTTTTAAACCAAATTGTGACAGGTGATGAAACTTGGGCGTGTCATTTCACACCAGAATCGAAACAACAATCGATGGAGTGGAGACACTCATTCTCCAAAAAAACAAAAGTTCAAAGTGAAAATGTCATCACAAAAAATCATGTGACTGTCTTCTGGGACAGTAAAGGCGTTTTGCTTACTGAATTTCTTCCCAGAGGTGAAACCATTAATGCGGCACGATATTTTGAGACTTTAACAAAACTAAGGCGTGCCATTCAAACAAACGAAGAGGAATGCTCAGTAAAGGAATTGTGTTGCTCCATGACAATGCTCGGCCCCATACTACTGGTGTCCCTCAATCGTTAATTCGACAGTTTCATTGGGAGCAGTTCGATCACCCGCCGTACAGCCCGGATTTGGCGCCGTCCGACTATCATTTGTTCCTGCAGTCTCTCCACCTTTTCTTAGGTCTTATGTGCTGTACTTAAATTCCTAGGGATTTATTCTTAAATTAATATGTTTACTATAATTTAGGTTAAAATAACACACCGAACAAAGATTAATTTAGAAGTCAAACAACAAAAATCAGCGTTATATTTACAAATTTTCCAGGACTAGTTTCGAAGGTTTTACTGAACCATCATCCTCAGTTGCCAAAGTGCAAACGAACGAGATAAGATACGAATGGTTGCAGAGGAAGGAGTTAAGCTACTGGCACCATTTATTGATGAAACAAGAAAACTAAAACATAATTTCCTTAAAGGCTGAAGGTAAAGATGGATTGGAATTGGGGTCGTTAACTGGAACATAAAGATTTTTTTTAATGTGAAACGTTTCTAGGAAATCTAATTCACCAATGGAAAATATTTTTTGAATAATTTTGGCTGTAGAAAAATGGAAAGTGTGATTTTCGGACCAACAGTACTGGGCAACAGTAACAACAACTTCTGTGTTTCCTTTTTTCTAACATATGCCTCATTCTTTAATGTTACGTTTTAAAACTCCCTCAGTTTGACCAATGTAAATTAAACCACGTTGGCAGGGAATCTAGTAAATAGCCCAGGAATTCATATCCAGAATGGGAATTTTATTGATAGGAGAATAAACGACACAGAAGTTAAGTTTTTGTAAAACATGTGCAATTTTATAGCTAATAGATCAGCTTAACTCCTGTCCATCGATTCTTACGTTGTAATCTACGTTCTAATCTCAATCATTTGTGCTTTGGCAGCTGAGGTTGATGGTTCAGTAAAACCATCGAAACTAGTCCTGGAAAAATTGCAAATATCATGCTGATTTTTGTTTAACTTCTAAATTAATCTTTACTATAACTGCTTAGCTCAAAATCATTTTAGATGTAAAATCTGAAATAAGATCAGATTAAAATTTTCTGAAATCTGAATAATTTATTTTCAACTTTTTAAGATTTTAATGGCAAACACTGAGTTGTTAAGACTGCAACTGAAATTCGACTGCCCCAGAAAAAGTGCAGGAAAAACAGCAATACCAATTGATACATTGTGGATTTTAATTCAGTTCATACTTTAGAAAATAGTCTGTCTTTATTGCTGGATTTTTATTTATTTATATTTTTGTTATTGAATGCTCGTTTATTCCTAGTGTATATTTTCAAGTGGTTATCCATTTCTTATTCTTGAATTCTACAGAATATTTTAGAAAAAAGTACAGATTTCATGTTTATTTTATTTCAAAAGTTTTTTTCTAAGACAACCGCATTTATATGCTAACTATCTGCCTCGCTTACACATTAACTGCAGTGTGTCCACCATTTAAAAGCTTGAAATCGTCAGACTACATAAGATATGAACCCTGGCAACGGAGAAATATAAATTTCAGATATTTTTTCAGGTTATCAGAATATGTAAGTAGCTGCTCCATTTGAAGAGGGTAAACTCCTAAGAATAAGATGAGAATGCCGGAGTTCATGCATTTGGCTTCATGACATAATATCTTGCATTTAAAGTTCTTGCTAGTATGGAACAACACTTAGGAACTGTCTTTGTTGTTAGCTCTTAGAATGGAAATATTACAACCATTGCCAGTTAAGAATGATCGGGTAAGGATTTGGCACACAATCTATAAAAGTTATAAATGCCAAGCATATACTAAATATATTCCAAAAGAAATTATATAAATGGACTAACATTTATGTGTATATGTTATGGTGAAACACCGAAATCTGGAGAATGTCGACTTTCACCAATGAATGTCAACATTCACATAGTCGCTTGGTGTATGTTCGAAATATTTTCCAAATACTCTTATTTCTGACTTACATCGGCGAATGTCGACATTCACCATGTACTAATGGTGAATGTTGAACATATAAGAATATATTTCCTTCTCCGTAATTCATTCGCGAAAAAATGCACTTGAAACTCAGAATAAGAATTTAAAACACACAGTACATTCAAAATGAGAAAGGAAAATAATAGAAGTTATAAACTTACCAAATTATGTGATTCAAATCTTATTTATTGCAACAACTTAAACTATTATGACACTTTGAATTGCACAAGAGGCCCTTGCTTTTACAACTGCATTTATTTGTGGAACACTTCCTTTTGGAATGGCAGCGTGTACATATACTCCTCTCTTTTCGACCTACACCAGAGCATATCTGTGATTGTCGACATACACCGGTGAGGGTCCGAATGTACAAGAATGTAATGCAATATTCGATCTTTCACCGACGTATTTGGTGAATGTTGACATTCTCCGGTGAAAGTCGACATTCTCCAATTTTGATCTTTCATGGTAACATATATATACACATACACAAATGTAATTCCATCAAGTGGTACAGATTGGGAACCGTCGTCTCTTTCTAAGATCTAAGTTATGGCTTAATTTTTAAAAGAAATATAAATCTGGTCAACTGTTTAAATTTACGCAATGAAAATGTTACAGACCTAGACATCGAAGATTCATTTCCTGCTTCTATTAATCATGTTAACAGATGCCAGGTTTCTTTTGAATATTTATAACGGAATAATTTTTAAATGTTTTTTTACCTATTGCGAAGAGATAAGGCCTCAGACCTTCTGGTTTTCTGTGCGTTGTTCTGACAGACACCATGTTATTCCTTTGTTCTGGAAGTAAATGGTATTTCATAGCTTCTATAAGAAGATCTTTGCCTTCTTGACTGTTTTGCAGTAGAGGTTCTTCTGCTACTTGGGTGAGAAGGAAATCTCTGCCTGTCAGTGGCAAACGAACGTGGTGCAACAGCTGGAAAAAAAAAAAAATACTCATTAAGTGGGAAGAAAAACCTTCATAAATCTATTTGATTGTTTTTTAAAGAATGTAAAACATTTTATTTAAAGTACAATAGTATTGTTTTTTCGAATGCCAATACGAATTAATATTCATTTTCTAAAATTTGATTTTGCATTTTTCGACAAATGTCATTTATTCTGCAATTACTATTTTTATTTTGCTGGGTGATACTGCAAAAAGATAAAACTTCAAAGTGGTTGATTTTCTTTGGCTTTGAGAACACCTATGCTAGAACAATGCAATATAAAAATCTAATACATATCCTAAGTCGCGCTTTCGAGACATAAAAAAACACGAGTTAAATTTCATCAAGAGGTACAGAACTGTATATTGTTTTTCAGTGCAAGATGTATATGGATGCATGAAGTTGTGATGGTGACTTTTTTAGCGAATATCACTTTTGGCTTTTAAATTATCTTAATGGCCATATCCATGTTTGCAAGCAGGGAGGAACGAAAGTTGGAAGCTTGCATTGTTCATCGTTATACCAGGCTAGAGCACCTACGCGCGGATTCTACAGTTCACGACTTGCCTTGAATTTGTGGGCTGGCAGATGTCAGTACTATTGAAAATGAGCTCTACAACATCACATATTCTGCAAGTAATCAAGTGGCTTAATGGATGAAAATAACTTAGCGTGTAATCAATCTGGTTTTCGAGGTTGATAGCACAAGCTGGTCTTGGCTCTGCATTTATTTTCGTAAGGATATAATCATATATCTTTAAATTAGCACCATATTTATTGTAAACATGATGATGATGTAGTAGTAGGGTGATATTTCCAGAGTTGTGTTTGCTGTGCAATGCCCGGTGTCCTCTTCAATTTCAGGAAACAGGCTCAGGACACTGGATCCTTATCAAGACCTGGTTAAGGTCAACCAAGATACACAATGACAAATTAAGGGTCCTTATCTGTTACAGCTTCACAGATCTCACATGAGCTTATGAGGTATTTCTCCAAATCGAAATTTTCCAATGCCTTTAAACCAACTTAATGTCTGTCCTCGCAAGGCGGTCATGGCTATTGTGATCTTTTGTACATCAGGAACAGGATAAAGTAAAAAGTGATTATTTACATTTTCTAGGAAGGTAGTGACCGTCGTTCTTCTGTCAAATGTCACTGAGGGTTTCATGGAGGCCTCATACTGTCCACCAGATAACCAAAGCCTTCAATCATATTTCCAGGAGCCAGTGGGGTTTGCGATGTCGATGGAGCTAACTCAGCCGCACCTTCGTTGCTAGCCATGAGTTCAGAAAAATTCGCCCGACACTCTAGAGACATTAGGCATTTTTTCGAAAGCTGAAGAGATGAAAAATTAGCAACCTCCTTTGCAAGGAATCGAACCACGGAGCTCTGAAATACCGGCTCAGTGTGCTGACCACTACACCACGAAGGCTCACTAAAAATGCGGGAGAAATACCTTTTAATGTGTATGCTGCCAACGAAACACGAGTTTTACTGTGGTTTCTCAAAGGCTTCACTGCATGTGGCTATACACCAAAAGACCCATTCATTGCAGCACACAACAGAGCGTGTTCAGCATGGTGCAGGAAACATGCACTTAGGATCAGATTTTGGTGGAGCCCAATGCTTTTTATGGATGAGTCAAGATTTAGCCTGGACACTGATTTTTGGTGTACCTGTACCTAGAGAAAGCCTGGAACACGATATAATAACTCCCTCAACCTCCTCCAACTTATCATAATTCGCTGAACGGGCAAAAGGATCATTGTGGTGGTGGAGGTATAATGGGTGGGGCAGGGATTGTGTTGCATGACCACATACCCCTGCATGTGCTTGACAAAAGCTATCTGACTGCTAAGGTATAGAGAGGAAATCTTAGAATGCTATGCTGGACTTTCCACATAGTGCTATGTTAGCAACTAGTCCTGGGTTCATGTTAATGGATGACAACTCTCACCCATGTAGGGCTCAGCTACTTAATGATTACTTGGAAAGTGAATATATCCGCCGCATGGATTGCCAGCCAGATCTCCTCACCTTAACCCTATGTCTAGCATGTCTGGGACGCTCTTGAGAGGGTAACTTCATCTTGTTATCCTCTTCAAAGAAACATTCTGGAGTTGAAAACTGCCTTGCTGCAGGAACTCCTCAACTACCTCCTGTTCATTATGACGTCACAGTGCGTGACCTCTCTGGCTGTGAGAAGAACAGCATATCCCACATTGGACTCTCATTTTCAGTGCGATATCAGAACATGGATTTTGGAATTCCTCCACGAGCTTTACTGATAACCATACATATATGTGGGAAATCACAACGTCCAATGCTGAATTAGAATTGCCCGTTATGACATCATCAGTATAGCATCACCCAGCGCAGTAAGAATAATCGCAGACAGCGCTGAGACCTGGTCAAGAGTGGAGGGCAGACGGCTCATACGTCTTCAAGAGTTTATGAATTTAGATTGTGCTTTTGATGTTATGCCTTTAGGTGTAAAAGGACTGTTGGTGCATCATTATGTTAATCCTGCATACCGTTAACTTCATCTTTATATACTTTTCTTAATTACTTTTATTTCTTTCTATTAAATAAACCATTTAAATATTACTTCGTGCTCTCATGCTGTGAATTAAGACAAATTCTACATATATAAAATGACTTTTGAACGGAACATCTTTTTTTTCCTCTGTTATGAATGCATATTCATACCAAATTTCATTAAAATCTATCCATTAGTTTGACAGAAATTTGACATAATATGGAAATTCTCTTTTGTACGTAAGTGCAGTTGGGGTGCTGTCATAAAGATCGTTACACTTTTTTTGGGGGGTGGGGAGATGGGAAACCCGAGAAATCAACGCTGGGTTTTTGGCTCCAGTACCAGGTTTCAGACAATGAATCTTTCAATTGCCAGATGGATATGCTATTTACTTACACGACATAATGGCAACTTAAGAATTTTTTTACACATATTTATTATGCATAGTTCTTATATGTGGCTTATGCTGAAGGCTTACAGATGAAGATAACAAAATATGAATTTGAAGAATTTCCAGTCTTTATTTCCACGCATATAAAATCATCTCGGTAGATATTTATCCAATCATAATGAAATCCGATACATTTTTATGATTCAGTCATAATGCAATATGATAAATTTCTATGTACACTGGTTTTTAACAAGAAATTTAACATTTTACAAAAGCGAAGCGAGGAGATATTAGCAATGTAGAAGCTGGCAGAATTATTAATTCATTTCTCACTTCACAACAAGGCAGAAATACATAAACACTCAAAATATCTTCATTAGAAAATAAAGAATATAGAAAAGCATAAAACACCAAATACAGTTAAAACAATTAAAAAAATTTTTTTTTTCAAATTAAAATTAGAGTTTGTATGCAAAAACAAGCAATTCGGCAATTAGGCAGGTTTTCCATGCACAAAACTAAAAGTATACGTTTGGTCCCACTTGCAAAAGATAATGAAGGTGAGAAACTGACTTATTTCATTATTTTGCTAAATTTCAAATGTAAACAAATATGGCTGCTATGGTAAAAAAAATTTAGGCTTAGCCATACTTAAACAACTTTTAAGTTGTTGATACTTGTACAACTATTGCATACAGATTAACTAAAGGCATAAAAACCTTAACCGGAAGATAAGAACAACATATCTCAATCATTTTTAAAGAAAAAAGGCGCAGTTTGCCCGCATATAAGAATAAAAAAACTGAGCCAAGTAGCAGAGGTGTATATATATATTTATATATTAAGAGTTCTAACCTCTATTTGCACTGCGTCATTTCTAGATTAATCCATGTCATATGACTCTTACATAATTCTGGTGATGTAAATGGAAGTAAAACTCAAGCAGCCAATAGTAATTTTGCAGCAATATGAACTATCCAATCAAAATGCATTGAGAACCGAAACTAACTCAGTCTGAATTAAGATTTCACTCTGAACATAATGCACTTGTTTTCTACGCTTTGGCTGAGCTGGACTGCTGTCTTGTCTGCTGCTTTCCTTCTTGCTGTAAGGTTATCAAAAATGTAAATCTTTCAGAATAGGCACAATTAATGTGCCAACTTGATTGTGGCTGCAACATGTTGCAGAAGTAAAAAACGAATATTTAATCTGCCTTTGCCTTCAATTTTCTATTCATTATGGATCAACACTTCTATGGCATATAAAATTCCTACTTGACATTACATCTGAGTTTGTTTTTATTACATATATATACATATTAATTATTTAATTAAAAATTTAAGAAATAATCTTAATTCTTTTGCACATTGATACATTTTCCTACGTATAATTAAAATTTATAAAAAAAAAAAAAAAGCATATGCGAAAATTGATAATTTTTACCTTGCCAATGTACCTTTCTCTTATAGATGAATCATGTCGTATCCAGGTAATAATGGCCTTGTATACTACCTCTTCCGACACCACATTTAATTGATCACTAGCTATTAAATCGCGAACCTGTAGAAAAGTAAAGACAATACAATTAATATTTTACTTATAAACCGTAGCAGAATAAATTACCAAAATAAAAAATATTGACAGTTTAAACGTGAACTGATTCACAACTTATATTAAATTGTACCTTTATTTTCAGTACATAGATTCTTTTAATCTTTTCGTGAGAATTCTTATATAGTGGAACTTCGAGATACGAGGAAAGTATGAGCGAAAAATTCATCTCTAAATACGAGCATTGACTCGAGTAACGAGCAACAAGCCAGGCTGTTGGTATGCGTGGCGCGTTTCCTAATCTGGCTAGACTCGAAAAATACCCTCCTCTGATCACTCAGTGTTCTTTGATTTACGTATTTGTGCGCTTGTGAGTTTATTCTTTTTACATTTAAGATGAAAATAATTATTTGAAGATGTCTCCCAAGATAATTGTTCCCTCAGATAGTGCTGCAAAGAAAAAGAAGGAAGCCATGGCCATTGAAATTAAGAAAGATATCATAGATAAACAAAAGCGTGGTGGAACTGGCAAAGACTTCCGGCTGTTCAAACATCGACAATCTGCATTATTCTGAAGAAGAAATTAAGAAACTTTGATGTGGCCAAAGGAGTTACCGTTATTTCTAAGCACCGTCGAAAACTAAAAGCTGTTGTTGGTGTGGATTAGCGAGAATAAGTTATGGTACTAAGGTGATTCACTGTTTGAAGCTACATTTGCATTAAGGCTAAGAATCTGTACTTGAACCTTCTCCAAAAAACACCAGGTACTTCGACTGAAGATGAGATGGTAATGAGATTTTTGGGGGTGCGACACAGATTAACTGAATTTCCATTATTTGCAATGGGGAAGTTTGTTTCTAGATATGAGAAATTCACTATATGAGCTCAATGCTGGAAGGAATTTAATTCGTATCTTGAGGTTTCACTGTATTTTTGAGTCATAATGACAAAATGCAATATGAATAAACTTGATGTAGAAAGGAGTTCACAAAAATATCTTAATCACTCTGATTTTTCTTTAAAGGAAGTCATCTTTTAACTCAACTAAAATTATAATATGTATAACTTTTTAAATTACATGGAAATATCTTAATGTTGGTGCAAAATTATATAGATACTACAGCAGAATAAAAATGCAAACTCTCAACCATTTTGATCAAGTATAGCAAATTATTCGAAAGCTGTCTAGCAAAAGCTATGAAATGCAAAAAGATTTCTACTGGCTCACGCTTAGCGATGTAGAGAAATCTGGGATTAAAGGGTTTAGAGGAAGATAATTCTTCGGTAGTTCAAAAAATCTTTACAGTTATTTAAGCTCTCATAAGAAAAATTTTGAAACTCAAAAGAAAGTTACTGTCTTATCAGAATAATTGAATAATTACCTTGCTCAAAATAGTTAGGGGCTATTATGATTTTGGATATAACCTGCAGATGAGGAAATGTTTTAGTGACTGATATATGATGTATAAGTGTTGTGAGATATGCAGAAAGAAAAAGAAGCAACAAACAAGGAATAGTTAAATTTTATTGACGACATTTGTCAGTAAACAAAATATGTGATTTCTCGAATGGGTTACAATAAGGGGTATGGTTTTCCCTGTCCGAAAGCATTGTCGCACACCTACGATACATGGAACCAATGTCGTTATCAATGAGAAACAGATATTCTCTCACACTCCTGTGAAAGACAGTTTTCAAACTGCTGAATTGTTTCTGGGGGTGATAAAACGACAAGCAACCCTTTTACCTAAAATGTCCCAGACGTGTTTTGTTGGGTTCATAATCTGGGAAACATGCTGGCAAATCCATCTGAAGAATTCCTTAGGCGAAAAGGAAATTGTCCACTAGCTGAGCACGATGTGGCCCGGCGCCATCATCCATGAGAATGGATTCATCCCCGATTACTGCAGCATAATACTGAGGATCCCATCCCTATATCGCTGAGCTGTTAGTACTCCATTCCTGATAACGCGCATGTCAGTGTGGTCATTGGTAGAGATACCAGCCCAGAGCATCACTCCACTTTCACAAAATTGGACACTTTCGTGCAAAAATGCAGGAGTATTCCATGTACCAGGTTCTCTCCACATGACATACTTCCTATTGTCAAGTTGTACACTAAAGCGGGACTTGTCTGTGAAGAGCAGTCATCTGGTCCTCATCTGAAATACTCTTGTGCCCACCTTGCTGCACATTGGTCCTATGTCAACGAAACCTAAACCACAGGTCAACGAGTAAACAAACATGGAGTTGGTTTCGAACGGTTTGAGTCGAAACTCTGAAAGTGTTGTGGCAAGAAAAGTGGCATCCATAGTGCAGTTTCTTATGGCCATTAGTGTTGTATACTATCCTCGTTTTGTGTTTTGTTGAAAGTGTACGACCTTGTTCCGATCTTCGACGAACATTTCCAGCTTCCAACAGCCGATTCCGTAGTCTCAAAATGTCACTTTGAGAAACTCCTAACGCTTCTGCTAGAATGGATTGATCTTTCTCTAAACGACCGATGGCCATCCAGACTACCGATTCAGTCATCTTGCTAAAACATCATAATCACTGTTAACAACACATTCAACAGGTGTCAGCTGTTTCTAATCATCTCCTACAGAAGGAATGCTGCAGGTCGCTTTTCACTCCTTATATAAAACGCATAGTTTTCAACGTCACAAACAAAATTCGTATATTCCCAACTCTGTAAATGCTGTAATTTTCTTTTTTAACTACTTCTATTTCATTTTCGTTAAAAGAGATGTTGTTTATACGGCTATTTCATACCGAAATCACAATATCTCCTAATTGTTTTGAGCAGTATATTAAACGCTAACTGTTTTCTTATAAAATTCTAAGTTTTCTGCAGTTTTTTTTTTTTTTTCGATTTGCTTTGGGGCGGAATGAAAAATGATGCTTTCGGTGTAACAGCGTGAAATGTATCTGCATAGGAATTTTAGTACATTTTATTATTTGTAAGAAAACACGTGTCAGGTGCTGTTAGAATGTCATTTGTGAGACTTTTCTTTCCAAAACTGCCCGATTTTCAATTTAAGCCGCAATTAATTATCAGTCGATCTGCTTGGTTCCTCTTAATATAAAATAACTTTTTCAATGAAAACATACAATATGAATGAGGAAAAAATTACTGCTTAAATCATATACACAAACGATATTTCAAAAGTTTAGAAACAGTATATTGAATTACTCTGAAATTAGAGAAAACATAGGTATCATTCAGCTGGATTGCAAAGAGATATAAAAGCACATTGAGTGGCGGCTTACTTAAATGTTAGCAAGCTATCTATCGATCAGATTTTTTAATATTTAAAATCATTCTTCACACCTACCTCGCAAAATGGTAACAATAAAAATTCTTCTGTTAGAGCAACTTCTTGAAAGTTTTGCAAAGCGTATTTGTGTGACTTCCGATGAAGTTCTTCACACGAATGAGCATCTGCGAAACTTCTGATACCAAGACAGTTCGAGGGGTGCAACTGACGAAGTAGGAACTTGCAGCAAGCTTCTCGAACGCTCTGTACCTGTAGAAGACTCGCTACAGGAAGTAAGGCCTAAGCATATAGGATTATAAAAATACAGTTAATTCCCCATTTAGCAAAAGCTATCAAAATGAAAATGGCGGTATAGAATTATTAAATTTTCTAAATAGAATGTTCCATAATGATATTTTATTATTTAACCTATAAAACCGAAGGGAGGTTTTAAATTTCATTGCCTTTTACCTGAAACAGCATTGAAAAGTTATCAAAATAGAGTTTTTTAAAAAAGCGTATTTTTTATATAAAAATAAAAACATTTCCAGTACCTTTATTGTTTTTATTCGAAAGCTTTTTTTAAAACGGAAGGAACTCAATAAAATATAGATTTTGTGAAAGTTGGAAATATTAAATGTAAGCGAAGCATTCAATTTTCATCAGTTTTCATTTCGACGGTTTCATTATTAGTCCCGCACGGGATATTAGTCTAGAAACGACATTTTGCATTGAATCATTAAAAACGATGTATTACTTTTCAAATTGTTGACATCAAATATTACCAGCCTGTATTATATTAAAATAAATTAAGTGATGAAGAATATGCAAGCGTATATGTATGTTTCTTGCATTGTGAAAACGTAACAACCTACAGCCATCCAGCTTTGAATAACGTAGTCCTCCACCCAAACATGGACGCCCTATTCGAATTTTTTTTATTATCTATTTCATATTCTGTAAAGCTTTAACGACTTTTTGATTAACAAACTTAATGATTTCAAAGCGAAGAGTGGCAACACTGTGCGGAATAAAATATTTTTATCTCCAGTGCGCGAGACTGTCTATCAGAAAGTCTAAAGATATGTTTATTTTACATGTTTTGTGACTTTGCTGTTGAATGGAATTTTATGAGGCGTAAGCACCAAGAATTTAATAAATAAAGTACAGGGAAAAAAGTTATTACAAGAATTAAAACAGAACGGGGAATTCAGAAATGAAAGTATTCACAGGAAGGTCTTGTAAGATTTCGAGTTTCTTTTTTATTTGTTAAGCTACGTTTAAAGAAACACAAATTATGTTTTAGTTTTTGAAAGACAGAGTAGATGCCGCATATTAGCTATTAATTTCAAATAATAATTAAGATGAAATATTAAATTTTCATTCCTGTTCATTTTTGTAGAAGATACATGACTTTTAAATTTTTCATTCAGAATTCCATTACAGCGAGTAATTAAACTTAAAATTAGTAACTTCATAATGATAATAAAGAATAATTCCTTTTTTACAGTTAATTCCTTTAAAGAATAAAGTTTGGAAATAAAAAAGTGTGTTTAATAACACTGGCCATTAAAATTGCAACACCAGGAAGGAATGATCTGAGGAACGTCAAAATCTTATGAAAGGAAGAGGATGATGCAAATGATTAGTATTTCAGCTCATTTACGACACCTGAAACGACATCTGAAGCACTGCATAAAAGAAAAGTTATGTAGTGGATTTCTCATTCGGAAAGTGCTTTGTAAGGTTGGAGTTTGCTCATAATATCGTGTTATGCCTCGAATAAGAAGAGAAACTGCTTACCATTAAGTTTCGATATTCGATAGAGGCAGGATCGTTGCCTATCGAAAGTGTAGATTATCGTTCCGTGATATCACAGGTCACACTGATCGACATCCAACCACTGTCATGCCACTATGGATTCAATGGATTGCGCAGGATCATCCTGAACGGCATGCAGGATCTCAATGCCCTCCCATGACTAACGCCCGAGAGGACAAACATATTGTGAGGTCTGCCCTTCAAAACCGTACGACCATATCACGGACCATTAATCAGGAAATAGGCATTTTTGCAGCTCAGTATCCGCTCATACACTATGTCTACGTTTGCAGCAACTTGAACTATCAGCACAGCGACCATTACTTTGGCTTCCCTTGACAATGCAGCATAGAGAGAGACTGTGACTTTCGTGTGCCGAACGACAAAGCTGGATACAGGAGTGGCACAATGTCGTCTTTTCAGACGGGTCGCGGTTTTTCGTGCAGTGTTCTGATGGCCGTATACGCGTCTGGAGGCTCTGAGGAGATAGCACGTCGCCTGCTTGCATTCGATATCGGCATAGTGGCCCTGCATCTGGTGTGATGATTTGGGCAGCCATTGGGGTACACGACACGCACATCTCTAGTTCGGATCGACGGTAATTTTACGCAAATCTGTGCACTTCAGACATCTTAGTCCAGTGGTTGTGCCCTATCTTCGAGGCCTGCCAAACGCCATCTTCCAACAAGATAATGCAAGACCACATGTTCACGTCTTGTTCTGACCTTCCTCGATACGCAGGATATTTGATTGCTGCCCTGGTCTGCACGGTCTCCAGATCTGTCACCCACTGAAAATATCTGGTCATGGGTTGCTGAGAGACTAGCCCACCACTCCTCTCCAGCTAACACGGCTGATGAAGTGTGGCATAGACTTGAAGCAGCATGGAATGAGTTGCCCAGTTCGATCCCTTGCCTAACTGGGTAAAGGCCTGCCAGGGGTGGCAGTTGTTTCTACTAATTTTGCACCCCTGCAAACTACCAAACTGCTTACAAATTTAATCATTTTATCTTCATGCCATACTGTTTAGGTACATTAAATTTCTTTTTTGTAATTGTTTTCCTTCATGGTGTTCCAGTTTTAATGGCCAGCAGTGTATTTTTAGGAGATCAGTTTAATTCGTTTCAAAAGCCGAAAGAAAATCCAGTCTTTTTATAGATTGCAAATTAAATAAGTTTTTCATTGATGACTTGACTCTTGCTTGTTGAATTTTAATGTGGTGATGATGAGAATTTAGGCGTAGTGTGAAACTTGGTTCCTTACCAAAAGAGCATACGCATTGTACGTTAAACATAAACTTTAATCGGAGTTTTCTTTGAGTTAACAGAACCGATAAACAGGATATGTCAACCTATGACATACCAGAACTAAATATAACAAGAAGAAGATGGAAGGATGGATAATGTTTGATTAACTTGACTGGTATGTTCGCAGGTAGTTGGCAGCAATAATTCCATACAATACGTCATATGAATGCTGTCTGGAACATCTAAATAGACTCCTATTCCCACTGTAATCTTCCACAGTTCCTTCTGATGTCAGGCTTCTATACATGAGATCACCATACCACGCTGAAGAGAATTGCGACTACTGGACACATCCATAACCAGGACGTCGGGAGGACACACATACACAGACCAGAGAGACACCTTTTTGGCTTCTGCCGCGGCACTATATAACGTAATCAGAAAGGAGGGAGAAAATACCTTATAAGGTTTCAGATGGTCGCGAAAAAGGGTTTGTTAAAGCTCTCTTTTTTTTCTGTTTTTTTAGTCCAAAGGGAGTTGAGTCCCTGAAGGACTATTACTTTCGTTTTGACATTTTGCGTCGGACTCCTATAAATGTCGGTTCACTTTTCAAACTGTTGCCACAAAATGTTACAGTCCTGCATTATATTTGAAGAAATTAAATAATGAAAACTCTGCATAAATGTATGTATATTTATCGCATTGTGATAAGATAACAGTACATAGAGCCATCGAAATTTGAACGAAGTAATCCTCCAACGAATATGGGCATGTGGAAGACCAAATTTGAAATTTGGAATTTTTTTTATTATCGATTTCCTATTTTGTAAAACTTTAGCGAATTTTTGATTAACAAACTCAAGGATTTCAAAGCGAGGAATGGCAACGTTGTGCAGAAAAAACATTTAACATTTTTATCCCCAACGCGTGAGTCTCTCTATCGGAAATTCTAAAGATATGGTCATTTTAAAACTATTTTGCGATATTGATGTTGAACTGGATCTTCTGCTTTAAGTGTGAAGAACAAGATATTTAATAAAGAAAGATAACACACAAAATGTTAAAAAACGCCCCTTTGGACGTAATTTAAAATATGAAACATTTCAGAATTTTTTTTTTTTTTTTTTTTTTTTTCTTTTTTTTTTTTAAGCTATCGCTGAGGTTGCAGTCTACTTAATCTGCTGTTGCATTCCCTCCTGTTAACCTATTTGTTTAGCCATTTTAGCTTTATTATTTAGAATAATTTTCTTCACACTTATGACATGTACAATTCAACAGCAAAATCACAAAATTTTTATTTAATTCAACAAAATTTAGAATTCCAGGTGCAGTATTAAGTTTTTGGCATACATTTTAATATTTTTTTCACCCTTTTCTCAGCGTTCAGTTTTGTTAGTAAGATGGCTAAGAATATTTTTTGTCGTTTTATTATTAACGCTTTGTGTGTTAACGTTATTTATTTTAACACACGTACACGATTTTCGCAATTACGCCACATAAATTCAATTCAACAGCGAAGTCACCAGACATTTAAAAACAACATAACTTTAGAATTTTTGATAAACAAATGGAGATAAAAATGCCCGATGTACATTGAAACATTTTATTTCGTACATTGTTGCCACTACTCGCTTTGGAATCGTTGCGTTTGTTAATCAAAAATTCATTAAAGTTTTACAAAATATGAAATAGATAATAAAAAAAAAATTCGAAATTTGAAATTCGGGCTTCGAAGTGCACATGTTTCGATATTTGAATAAATTATTTTATTATTTATTCAAAATCTGGTGGCTATTGGTATTGGCATTTTTTCACATCCAGAAAAACATTCATGTAGATTCTTCATTATTTAATTTCTTTAAAAATAATACAGAACGATAATATTTGGTGGCAACAATTTGAAAGGTGATAACGCCGTTTATAGTGATTCAATGCAAAATCTCGTTTCGAGGCTAATATCCCATTTTGGCTTTAAATATATATATATATATATATATATATATATATGACATACCAGCTTTTGTCCGAAATAAATAGGTTGCTGAAGAAATATAAAAGTAGTCGTAAATTAAATTATCAGACGATAAGTTTAAAAAACAGGATCCATTTATTATTGGTCAAGGGAAATAGCAGTTACAAATATCAGATATCCGGAGTAAATAAAAAGAATTAACTTTTTGTATGAAGTTTACTGCATCGTGACATTTAAGAAAAAGCCCTGATATTCCTTTTGCGAGTCTTTTTATAGCCTCTGGAAAGGCGGAGCTTCCAAGAAATGACGTCAGCCTCGTCAGCCATTCCAGTTCGCTTAAAATACTTCCAGAACATTCTAAAACTGTACGTGTAGAAAAAGGCGGAAAAAACAACTTGACTACGGGCGTGGATTTAATTCCACGTACTTTCAAATAAGAGAACGTCGCCATTAAAATTAAAAAGAACATATAGTTAGAACTTTAAGTGTAATCTTGACTATGGAATTTTATTATTACATATACAGTCAAAAGTCGTTAATCCGGACTCGTCGGGACTTCGGCGATTCCGGATTATCGATTTTTCCGGATTATAGATCATCAGTTTAAATCTGGTAAAATGGCATGCAGAAATTATAAAATTAAAAATATGAAACCGTAATTTACGAAATAAAGAACAATTATGATCTAAAGGGTATCAAAATTTACAAAAAAAAAAAGCTTAATATTTATTTGTTTACTTTATTAAACATTTCTTTCAATGTAAGTTGTTTAAGTTGCTTCGTTTTTTATGTGATAATACATTCTCTTTAATTCTATAAACAGACATTAATTTCTTGTTCAGTTACAAAGTTCCGCTGTTCAAGTCCTATAATTGCTGTGTCGAGAATACCGACTAATTTGTCAATCGAAATTTTTTCGTTTTCAATAACCTCTGTCACTTTCTTCGCTATCGGAAGCGAATTATAATGACGAGGCATTTGATTTAAATCATATCAAAGACGGAGTACATCGAGATGAAATACTACATTGAGTAAGCAATTATAAGCCAAATAAAATAAAAACATCTGCCCTTAAGATAAGGATAGTGCTGACAGATCAACTTCCAATTCATTGCACGCCGCCGCGGCGTTAAAGATAAACAAACGTTAAAGTTTAGATAAACAAAGGATATGCCTTTATCCATTTTTTGCAGCAATTCCACTTTTTGTTTAATGGACTCCGAAAGATACTTTCGCTTTGTATATCCTTTACATATTAGTAAATATATATCGGAAATTCTATTTGACATAATCGAAAGTTCAAGCTTACTTTTATAAAATTGCTCTAACAGTCTGCAAAAAATAATAATCCGGATCCAATTCGAAGATTAAGGAACAACGCAATCTGCAACATTAACTGAAATAGATAATTAGATAATTTTAGCTTAGCTTATCCCGTCCGTTATACATTAAACGCGCATTCGTAAACGTATTTTGCGCACACGCAAATTCGCAGCGGTAAAGGTCTTACGCGCATGCGTCAACGCGACGCATGCGCAGAAAGTTTGTAGCTTTGAGGTCCGGATTATAGATCATTCCGGATTATGGGTGTCCGAATTAACGACTTTTGACTGTATATATATATAGAGAGAGAGAGAGAGGGGGGGAAGGGAAATAATATAACAATTTGACTTGATTAATTCTTTTTTAAAGTAATTTAGCTGATTTTTGGTGAAATTTTCTAAAACATTTTTTTTTTTTTAAATTCATTCCACAGTTTGTTGTAGGTATTAGGTTATTCTTATGCCTAGAAATAATTAGAATCATGATGTGTTTTAAACAATTACTTCCTGATTTCTATTCCCTGAAATATTATGCGCGCATGGCACGAAGTCAGAACCTAATATAAAAATTTTGATAATTAAATGTAGCTTAAAGAACTTACCTGAACATTATCTTCGGAAATAAGTACTTCCCCCGTATATGCAAAATCCACGAGAAGCTGTAAGGCTCCCGGGTCCACATCATGCATGGTGATAGATGATTTATCTTTTTCCGACATTTCACCTAAATTCAAGTTATTGTTAAATAGGAAGACTAATTTTTACAGTTCAGTTTTGCAATGGAAACAATAGAAATTATCCTTTTTCTTTTTACTTCAAAATAAAAATAATAATTAAAAAAAATTGGCAACATTTAATAACACTAGATTTTTCTTCGCTTTACCATTAGCGAAAAGATAAATTATAAGCAAATTTATTTTCAAAATGCGTCATTTTTGCACAAATGAATAACTATTTTAAATAATTGTTTTTCTATATTGGAGGGTAGGGTGTATTTTTTAATATGATTAAAATAATCATATAAAAATATATGCTTAGAAATATTTTTATATCTTTAAAATAATCATATAAAAATATATGCCACTTAATTTATCATGGGACCGAAAGAAAACTTTAAACTATAAGAGTTCATTTTTCTCCCAGCAGGTGGATTTGAACACCAATATACAGGGTGGTTATAATTAAATTTCCACTTTGAAATGGTCATAAAAGTAAAACTGCTGGACCAAATGTAATATCAAACTTGGTAATCGTGTAAAGGAGGTCATGCGAATTTATTTTCCGCGGAAAAAAGTTCAAAAACTCACCACCAAGGGTGGCATTGTATGGAATATTATTAAAAGAAATAAGGGTCGGTATCTAAATTAGCCTTTTGTTACACGTGTTTAACATGTTGTATATCCTTAAGAAACATTGGCCATCAAACATTTTGTGGACAGATGAGGTCCATTTTTACTTAAATGGCGATGTCAACACCCTTAACTGCAGGATTTGGGCCAAACAAATCCCTCATCTTATGTACCCAGTTTCATTGTATTCTCCTGAAGAGCAGTCGACAGCTGGACCTGTTACATCAGTGTTAAGACGTTTCGTGATATCTGAACTGCAGTATCGTGGCATTTTAGACTCCTTGATTTTTATGCAGGACGGGGCCCATTGGTACACATGTCACACAGTTACTTAGACAACATTTCACGAATGCACGGATTATAGGCCGACACTTCCCCACTTCTGCACTGCAGTCACTAGATCTCAACTCCTGTGACTTTTGGAGAGGTTATTTCAAAAGCACCGTTTATGGTGATAATCTAAACAACTTGGCGGAATTGAAAGATCCGATACACCGACATGTCCCTAACATTCCTCCTGATATGCTAAGAGCTGCTGATGAGAACGCAGTAATACAATTTAACTTGCTTTCGGAAAATGGTGGACGCCACACTGAACATGCTTTGTAACACACTTCAGAAACGATTCAACATACGAGTTTTAAACCGACGTCTTCATGTCTAATTTCGCTTACAGCGCCATTTCCCCCTGGTGGTGAGTTTTTGAACTACTTTTTTTCGCGTAAAATAAATTCCCATGATCTCCTTTATACGATTATCAAGTTTGATAACACTTGGTCCAGTAGTTTTCCTTTTATGACCATTTCAAAGTGGGACTTTAATTATAACCATCCTGTATTTATCACATGCTTTAATATTCATTTACAATACATAATTATATTTTGGCTATTAACTAGTTTAACTAATTAGCAGATTTCGTTCACATAGCAAATAATTTACTTATTTTTCGTATGCAGTTTTTGAGCTGTTTGAGGTCTCCAATTCTCAGTTCATGTTTTGCCATGGGGATGGAAATGGATAATATTCATCTGGATTCGAATCCTGTGTCTTTGTTGACATTTTAACATGCGTTTTTAACGAATTTTTAAGAGCACTGAACGGGTTTTCACTTCTATAATATAAGCGTCACTTTCACAAAACAAAATAAAACATCTTTTTATTTTCCTTTAGTAACAGTCCAAACATAAGATCAGTCGGATTCGAGAATCAAATGTGTGCTGGAATAGCGTTTCAAAATATTACATTTTGTGATACGTTTTACAGCCGCTTTGGTTTGGTTTATTTGATTATGGCAAAGCACACTAGGGCTATCTGCCTAAGGGGATGGATGCCTTCGTGGAGGACGTTCTAAGAGAACTGGCTCGTATACACGTTACACCTGAGGGAAACCACGAAAACACTCCTGCAGCCAGCCCATTCGCGAGATTTGAACCTCAGACCGAACTACCAGTGTTCAGCGACCGCTTGGCACCTGGTGGGCTACAACCGTTTTGATGTCTCAGTTTCTAAAAATTTTTAAAATATAATAGTGAGATATTTCTTTTGATCGAATACCTAAGATTGAATTTTATCTATTTCGGGCATTTTAGTATATTTATTTACTCATGTTTCTTTTATATTTCTCATTATGTTTAATAAATTGGAGCTCAGTATATTTTTAGTGATAAAATCTGAGTTTCCAAATTCTTAAAATATGTAATATAGAAAATGAAAATTTTTAAAAAGAATATTGTATGAACTTTAAAATAAAAAGCCTCATTTGCCATGTTAGATATAATAGTTTTATATTAGTATAAGAATATGAGTAGAAAATATTAATTGGAACTTTTATACTTTTATTCCAATAATTAAAGTTTTTTTTTTATTATTTTTATTTTATATATATATATATAATTTAAACAGTAAGCAACGTAAAATCATTCTAAAAACGAAAGTAAAATTTTATTTTTCATAAAATTGCAACGTATTACTTTATTTACGCTACAAAGAAATTCTCTTAACCCTCTGGGTGATCAGGGGTTTCGATAAGAAAGCACAAATTTCCCAAAATTACTATGAGAACAAATTATGTTTTTGATTTTAATGCAAAAACTCTCCTGGCATTTCATACCTGAATTTGTTTTCTTTTGATATATTGCCTTAATTTCGTTGACATATTTTAATATGCACGTATATATACGTTCTTACAGATATCACAATAAATATTCTAGGCCGTATATATACGGTCTTGCCGCTTAAATATTTTAAGATAAAAATCGTATCGGGATCCTTTATAATATATAAAGTTTCTTTAATAAAACTATGATCGAAATATACTAGAAATGATTTCATAAAACACAAGATTTCAATTTATTGCTCAAAATATATATCAGATCTCTTTCAGAGTAATCCCTTCCAGTTGCAATAAATTCTACGCCAATGTTTTTTTCGTCTCGCGAAACGTGCTTAAAAGTCGTTTTCGAAAAACTCCTTCAAGAGTCTCAAGGAATTTTCTTCATACTCAAAACGGTGACCCTGGTGCTGTAATTTGAATCTTCGAAAAAAGAAAATGTCATACTGTGGCATATCGGGTGAATACGATACTCGGAGTCGCTATTTTTCGAATTTGGGGTCAAAAATTCGTCAACAACACGTGCTCTATGAGCAGATGCATTGTCGACGCTCAAAATCTATGAATTATCCCTTCATAATTTAAATCGTTCCCAACAAATTACTTTACGCTGTAAGGTATATTTTAAGTTTGGAACGCTTTCCTTTCAATTCTTGTTTCCACTTACAACTCCTCACCAGAATGGGCTTTTCGAATCGCGTTGAAGGCAAATGAGTTTGAAGGTTCAACTAACTTCGACAGAGAGTGCTAGGAGTCCTTAGTGATGAGTGTTTGCCTTCTGGCTAAGACACTCTTGAAGCGGTTACACTCAACCGTATTATACGTGCCTATAACCAACTACGTTAGATGATTGTTTCTAGCTTCGGCTAAGTCTCGTTAAGTTAATTATAGTTTAGTTCCTTATTTCTTATTCTGAATTAAAGCTCGAGTAGAGGCTTTCCTGTAAGCCCGAGAAGGGGGCCGACTGTTATTCTTATTTGAGTGAATGAAAGTCTACGTCTTAGTTGTTTGAACTCAGGGATAAGTCGCAACATAATTTACTAGATTCCTTGACGTTTCATCAAAGGAACAAAGAGCGAAGAACAATACAACGCGAATGTCGCAAATTACTTAAATAATATTATTTATTAAGAACATGGGCATCTGATGGAAACTTACGACACACACCACATGTCGTGACGCAACACCACGTTAACCAAAGACATTACCTTGATTTTTGATCGATTTAGATGGGGTATTTTCACCTTTGCTTCAAATTTCGGGCACTATTTACTTGAATATCAACCCCTTAACCTACGATTTAGATTCGAAGATGTTGGGCCGAAATTGTATACAAGCTCGCGCAGCGTTCGGGACATTTGCACGACTTGTGTAACACGCTAATCCGGGCAATACGAATTATGTAATTTTCGAAGAAAGTATAGGCGAATAATTATTGATGATACATCCGATGACGATGAACTACCAGAGTTCTGGTTTTGGAAAGAAATAAGTAATAGTCCAAAAATCTGGGACTATACGATGACTCCTGGCATAAGAGAGGAAGCCTTATGTCAATTAGGAGGAAGTAGAGGAGAATTTGATAAACTTAATCTAATATTTGATGAAATATTTTGGAACAGTATTGTAACCGAAACGAATTAGTATGCAGATCAAGTACGAGAAAATCCACATAGATAACGAATCCAAGAGTGTAAAAAGTGTAAAGTTCCATTACATGTACCAGAATGCTTTGAAATATATCATATCGTTACAGATTACTAATTTTGTATTTTGGAGTTTTGTATAAATAAACATTTTGCTACCACAATTATTGCATCAGACTGTAATTGCGTATCAAATATTCCACGTATTCACTTCTGGCCCTATCACCGTACGCGGGCTATGCCCGTGAAAGTTAGGTTTGGCCCGACCATCGTACGCGGGCTATGCCCGTCAATGTAGATTAAGCAGCTTCCATACCGAAAGCATACATCCAAAGTTTGTCATCCAAAGTTCATCACTTGTAAAAATATGCGTTTTAAGTAGAGTTCGTCTTGAGAAGTACCTTCTGGGATTCTACAGCACGTTTCAGTTTCAGAAAAAATTCGGCGTTTTTTTCAATAACTGGAGAAACGACACTCGGGAAAGCGAAATAATCTTTCAAAAATGCTTTAAGGATCCAAATGGTATAGGAATTTGTTTAGTAGTAGTCCTAATGGTTAAATGATGATTGTTAAACAAAAATCTGTAGCTTGGTGGACGCGTCGCTTATTAATTGAAGTGGATGGTCTTCGACGCATTCTCTTCCTTTCTCTAACACCTTATATCATTCGAAACTCTTGGTTTTGATACATAATTGCCCTCAATGGCATTCTGCCAAATTTCATACGTTTTTGTACCAGAAACTTCATTTCAGAAACAAAACTTATTCGTTGAAAATGGATTTATTTTTTGATTAAGTACCAGTTTATTTGCAAACGATTAAAAGAAAAAATATACTCGTAGCTGCTAGATATCAATGAAAGTTATAATTTCTAAAAGAACTTTGGAAGCGATTACATTCATGTGTGTATTTTCATTTATGCGAATATTTCCCGATACATTTCGGTCACAGGAGTATAAAGTTCGAAAATTATTTAATCAATAAAAATTAAGTTTTGCATCATATTCGATATGCATAAACAATTTAACCATATGATGTAACACGATGTTTTTTATTTTGTAAAATGAAACAGGCTTCATTTTACAAAATCAGTCCCCTCCACCCAACAAAAAGTAAAATTGTGACTACGTTTGCAATTATAAATTAAATTAAAAATAAATCGTGCTATTAAAGTGCAAAGTAAAACTGCTTACGAACTATCAAACTAAATTTCATTAAGCATCTTTTAAAATAGTAAGGAATAGTACAGTTAAGGAAGAGTACAGCCTATTGTTTTTTTTGCTTGTCCCTGTAATTTTTAATATACTTGCTTTTTTCGAATTAATCTTGGGCCATGTGTATGGCAGGATTTTATAATTTTATACCTTAAAAGCCTTATTTATACCTTAAAATTGAGAAATAAAAGTGTTTTTATTTCTCAATGCAATATTTAGACATTAGGATTTGTATCGTAATTAGAGCCTTTACAGAGATATTTAGAGATTATAATAAAGATTAAGATTTTTATCACTTGTAACATACTGTTTGGATTTTCTTTTAACATTCAAAGTGAATGCAGTTTGTGGAATAGTGTAAAACAACCCACAGGCGTAGGTATTTAGTGGAATTCATTTCAAAGAAAAAATAAATATTAAATATGTGAACAGAACATTTCTCAAGGAGATCACTTACAGTTAAACATAGCGTGAAAATAGGCGCTACAGGAAGCTAGCACCACTTTATGAGCCGAGATGACATCATTTCCGGCAAGCAAGCTGACGTCGCAAAGCTGCCCTCGCTGCCGCATGCAATTCATGGCCAAGAATCCATTGCCGTGGTGGTCCGGATTCACGTGGTGCACATGGTGCAGGCGCACGGCAGCTGTGCTCGTGTTCATCGTGTCCATCACGTCCGCTTCCATCGTCAGGCGACGACGGCTACAGAGAGACAAAGGTCCAATTGTAAGACATTTTTTACGAAAAAAAAATGAAACAAACAAACAAAAAAACACTTGGAATCTCCGGCAGCCTTAAAAGACACTTGAAGCAAGGACAGGAAGGGGAAGGCTTTTAAAAAAACTTAGTAACTGAAATACCAGTTATGATAGGAGATACCAGTTATGTTTTTGTCTTTCAGATGATTTAATTTAATTTTTTTTTTTTTTTTTTTAATTTTACTTCGAATGTCTAGTAAGTCAGATCATGTGCACAATGAAGTTCAAGTTTTCGATTAGAAAAAAATTTATCCAAAAGCCCTACTTTTTAAAAATTGTGTTCCATATAATGATTCATAAACAGCCATTGCCACTTATCACTGTTCGCTATGGATTAATATATACTTACTCAAAATTTCTGTGCTTGACAAACTTTTTAAATAAACGCCAGCCTTTGGGAAACAACTACATAAAAATCAGTAATATAAGCATCTCATGATATTTTAACTCAATAATTTAAACTACCGTACCATAAACAGCCATTGCCACTTATCACCGTTCGCTATGGATTAATATATACTTACTCAAAATTTCTGTGCTTGACAAACTTTTTAAATAAACACCAGCCTTTGGGAAACAACTACATAAAAATCAGTAATATAAGCATCTCATGATATTTTAACTCAATAATTTAAACTACCGTTGATTAATTCAAAAATAGCATTTTTAGCCCAAATGGCGTTAATCCAGAAGGGTTATTAATTTCGTTTTTGCATTTTGCGTTGATTCACTATTGAACGGAGAATCGCTTTTCAAATTGTTGCTACCATATATTAGCATCCTGTGTTATATTTAAAGAAATTAAATAATGAAGAATCTGCACAAATGTATGTATGTTTCTCAGATTGTGATAAAACAGCGGTACCTAGAGCCATCCAATTTTGAATAATCTATTTCTCCACCGAAATATGGGCATCATATGCATTTTTTGCTGCATTCCATTTTTAAACTCATTATTCGAAACTCATTAGAGATACATTTCTCATTCAATTAATTCAGTTCTCACTTCGCGTCAGGACAAAAATACACGAAACCTCAAAATATTTTCATTAAAAATTGAAAAATATAGAAAAACATAAAACACCAAATACAGTTAAAACAATTTAAAAAACAAATTTTACAAATAAAATTGGAGTTTCTACACAAAATCAAACAATTCGGCCAGCGGGCAAGATGACAGATTTTTCGGTGCACAAAACTGAAGGGTTTTACTTTTGGTCCAACTCGTCAAAAAGACACTAAAGATGCAGAAACGGACTTAATTCACAATTCTCATAAGTTTCAAGCGTAAACAAATATGGTTGCTGTGATTAAAGAAAAATAGGCTTAAAGAATTTTTAAATGGTTTAATAATTCTGCAACTATAATATGTAGATTAACTAAAGCGTAAAAGCCTTACCCAGAATATAAGAACAACAGAATTCAACCATTTTGAAAGCAAAAAATGCACAATTTAACAACATATATGAATAAAAAGGAACTGAGCTCACGGAGCCGAGTAACAGAGGGTACATATTTATGTACTTTTTATTTTCATGCGGCCGATTGCAACCAAAAAGGCAGATGCACAACTGCATGTTACAGCCATCCTACAATACAAAATTTCAACGTTCTGAAGATGTTGGCTTTTGAGTTATGCGATATATATACACATACGTACGTACGTATGTAAGCACATACGTCACGAAAAAAATCTTCTCTGAATCCATTTTAAATCGATTTTATAATCCATTTGGGAAAAAAGAGTCCTTTATTCTGTCGTTACGTACAGATGTCACCAAAAACATCGGTGATTTGTATTTGATAGCTATCAAAATGGATATTTTCTTTGAAATATAATACCCAGAATTTTTCCTGGTTACAATACTTCTTTTTCCTAATTACAATACTTCCTTTACTTTGTACAAGGAAAGGAAGTATTGTACTGTAGTAATTACTTTGTACAAGGAAGTAATAATTAAATTTTAGAAAACAAATGGGCGCCTTGGAAGGGCAAGGAAATTCGGATATTGCTAGAGAATACAATCTTCCTTGATTTGGCGCAATATCAGCACGTAATTTCATGCTTTCATTAAAGAAGTAAACTAAACTTTGAGGAACTTTCATTCCTTCCCCTGAATATAATCATCAAACTCATAGCATTCATGGCTAAACCATAAGATTTTGCGTGATATAGTCTATTCACACAATACCTTGAGTTTCAAGAACTCATTAACCAGTTCGCCGTTAGGAAAATCGTAAACATTTCGTGCCATTTTTCGCATCCAAAGGTAAACTTTTTGTGTCTAAAACTGGGTTCAGAATATTTCTTTCCCCCTTTCACCACCTGTGAAAGCCTATTTAGAAGTTCTGTTCAAATCAGATTGAACAGCGTACCTGTCAATCTGATCCTGAAGGATGGTGAATAACGACCCCCTAAGGGAAGCAACATAAAATACAAGACTGGTGTAATCCTTACAGCAGATATTTTTCCCTTTGCACCCAACCCCACTTCCACTTCCTGCACCCTAACCCCAAATCTATTGCAATGTAAATGTAATTTTTAATTGTCAAGAAAAAGCTTTATATAACGTAAAAATAAGGGCATTAGCTAGTATTTGAAATATCCTGGAATTTTGTTTTATTGTTTTCTTGATGGCCTGTAACAAAAGAGAAGAATTGAATCGTTAAGAATTGAAAGGATAGCATTCAAATCCCTTTGTCCGTTAATAGAAAAGGAGAAAGCCGTTGTGGATCCCATAAGGTATGTTGAGAGGGTAGCTTGTCGAAGAAAGTGTCCCCATCCTTTACTTTCCTGAAACAGCCCCGCTGTGATCCTAATGCAACACCGCTGAGAAGATAAGTAACCCATCAATCACCCCTTTTGATTTTCGACTCATTCTGTGGGGGTTGGAAAAACGTCGCTGCGTCGTATGTGTCTCGGGGGTTACGGTTCAGACCAAATTTCACCCCGACGAGAGTCTGCCGACGCTAACGGATGACGATGCCTTTTCTGTGAACGTATTTCTCTCGGGGCAAACGGTGAACTGGTTAACTAGGATTTCGCACATAAACTACGCTATCATACGTAAAAAAGAAAGCCAGACCTTTATGCACGTCTAAAATGTCTCATTTAGAAATCTCCAAGCAAACACAAGTTTTCTCCGAAAAGAAGTTTGATGGTAATTGCATAATAATTGATTTATGTACAAAGGAAGTACATCAACCGATTTTTACTCCTTCTCGTTTCATCATACTAGCTTCCTAATTCATCAAAGATGCATCCTTCAACCTTTTAAGTGATGGTCATGTTTACATTAGTAAGATTTCGTTTTCATGCCTCCCTACACATAAACGAATTTAAAACTGCTAAAATAAACTTCGAACTTCGATCCAGTGGGAAGATGTCTGCTGTTATGAATTCAAATACTGACGTTCACTGCGTAAGATTAAAGTGACTAGAACTCTATAAAATTAATTAGAACTTTGTAAAATTTACAAACAATCTGATATTGTAAAATCCGCCAAATTACAAAGACTTAAATGGGCTGGTCATCTGGTTAGAATTAATAAAGATCGTTGCTGCAAGAAAATCTTTCTGGCAAAGACCATGGGAAATAGACCTCGGAGCAGACTTTCGCTAAGATGGATTGATTGTGTCGAAAAAGATCTTCATATTTTAAAGGGCCCACCTAGGGCTGTCAAGCCAATCAAGAAGAAGAAAAAGAGAAACGTAAACTATTAGCTTTATGACTTACAGAGATCATTCTCATTAAGTGATTTGTATGCAGACCTTGTTGCGATATCAAAGAAAAGTGGTAGCTTTACTCTAAATTCAGTTGCCTATCACTCAAATTTCTGTTGTTATGGACAGTTATGGACATGCAACATGCGACGGGGGGAGGTGGGCACCATCCCTCCACCGTAGGTTAATTGGTGTAGCACCACGTCCACCAATATCTAGAGATGGACCTGAGAGGCCACACGAGGGTCCCGCACGGGACGCATATTTCACAAGTGCACATCTGTGTAGCCACCGAGGGAGTGGCTTCTAGGATGGACCAATGAGCATCCAGAAATATTTCTGTCATGTCACATGACCTTTGCTTCTGAAACTTTCATTGCGAAGTTAAATCAAACACAGGCAATTATGAAGATTTCACTACCTGGTTGAAATAAATACAAACACATGTTGGATACTTCGCAAAAATATCGATGTGAAATATTACTTAATACGTGGTAAATAAGATGAAGAAAGAAATATGTGATAAACATCCGAGCCTAAATGCAATCTTTACATAAAACTATGCGTATAAGAAAAATATTTACACCAATTATATATGTAAATAGAAGTGAGCTCTTTTCATTGCAGTCTATATGAAAAAGATGTTCTATAAATGATAACCAATGCAAAATTTTATTCAAAGGGAACTTTACTAATTTGCATTCGTATGCATTTAGTGTGTCAAATTTCACATTTAATAACTGCTCACTCTTAAATGTGCTGTCTACACAAGAAATCCCATCAAACAGAGTGAATTTATCTTAACGAATATATTCATATTTATTTACATATAATTTTTAATGTTAGCAATGGATATAATCAGATCATATGTATTCTGAATCTTACACTTTAAAAATCAAAAGAATGCGAGCACTGAAATAAGAAAACACTATATTCATTGTAACACTTTCAGTCATTCTCATCTCAATTAAAAAAATATACACTTGAATTCTCTTAATCCACGTAATATGCCGTGAACATCAAATATTAATGCGTGATAAAAATCGCGAAAGTGAAATGTCAGAGATTAATTAAACTCAGAAAACGAAAGCACTACAAGATTTCTAGTATTCTGTCATATATTTATAACTGCGAAACAAATGCAAATTAAAACGTAAACAACATATGCTCACATGCACGGAGATTTAGCGTCACAAGCGCAATATAGCAGCTCATTGGTC